GCAGTGGACACTGTGTCTGCCCAGGGCTTCCTCTAGACTGTGCTCAGGGAATCACTCTGGGGACCACTGAGGTGGCAGGCAAGGCAAGCACCCTAACCACCACGCTATCTCTCTGACCCCACATTTGGGGACCCTTTCTGTCTCAGGCGCCCCTGCCTGACTTCCATCCCCCATAAGCAGGGATGGTCAAGTCTCGGCACAGTGTCTTCCAAGGCGGGATGCTGGTGGGCAGACTGCAGGTGGGAGATGTGTGTGTGTGTGTGTGTGTGTGTGTGTGTGTGTGTGTGTGTGTTTGCTTTTTGGGTGATATCTGGTGGTGCTCAGGGGTTACTCCTGGCTCTGCACTCAGGAATTACTCCTGACAGTGCTCAGGGCACCATATGGGATGCTGGGAATTGAACCTGGGTTGGCCACGTGCAAGGCAAACGCCCTACCCGCTGTGCTATCATCCCAGTCCCCCAAGCAGGAGGTTTGACCCTTAGCTTTATGTCGCATCAAACCTTCGCTTTACTTTGTACACGGACAATGGTCAGGGACCATAAGGCAATGGCAGCTCAAGTCTCACATGGCTGAATTCTCAGAACTGCATAAAAGTTATAAAAGAGCTTAGTTAAACAATTAATACCTAAAAAAATCCTAAGTAGCAGTTCCTCTTTCACTTCACTTTAAACATTTTTAGCCAATTTCTTTGGTATTTACCTTCCTATCTCTCAAGGATATCGTTACTTCCCGATTTTTTTATATATATTGAAACATTGTCTCTCTTTTGTTTAAATATAGTGCCAGGTTATATGCAAAGTCTCACACATTCAAGGTATAAGCTTTACCACTGAGCTAGCTGCACCCCACCCTTGATTTAAAAATTGTTTAAAAAGTTATTTTACATGGGGGGGGGGTGGCTGGAATGACAGCACCATGGGCAAGGCTGTTCCCTGAGCACGGCCAGGAGTGACTCCTGAGTGCAGAGCCAGGAGTAAGCCCTGACCATTGCTAGGTGTGGCCCCCAAACAAACAAACAAGCAAATAAAGAAGTCATTTTATGTTTTTGCTAGTTGTGGGCTGCTTGGGGTTGGCTGCCAGTGCCACTCTGGGTTGTATGTAGTACAGGGACTGCAGCCCTGGGGCTCCTACACGCAAGGCGCGTGCTCCTGCCCTTGAGACCCCCGTCCCCACCCCTCCTGTTTCAGTCCCACCTTTCCTCCCTGCAGATGCTCAATAACCTGTTCTGAGTCTCTTCTGCATGAAAGGGCTTTCGAGCTGTGGGATTAGAATTCAGGGTTCTGGGGCTGCCACGGCCCTGCTTCCCCCCACCCCACTCTCCGTGGCTGCCTCCCCCCCTGCTCTCCTCCTGTGGCTGCTTCCCCCTTGCTCTCCCGTGACTGCTTCCCCCCTGCTCTCCTGTGGCTGCTTCCCCCTTGCTCTCCTCCTGTGGCTGCTTCACCCCTGCTCTCTCGTGGCTGTTTCCCCCCTGCTCTCCTGTGGCTGCTTCCCCCCTGCTCTCCTCCTGTGGCTGCTTCCCCCCTGCTCTCCCGTGGCTGCCTCCCCCCTGCTCTCCTCCTGTGGCTGCTTCCCCCCTACTTCTTGTGACTGCTTCCCTGCTTCCTCTCCTGTGGCTGCTTCCCCCCTACTCTCCCGTGGCTGCCTCCCCCCCTGCTCTCCTGTGGCTGCTTCCCCCCTGCTTCTTGTGGCTGCTTCCCTGCTTCCTCTCCTGTGGCTGCTTTCCCCCTGCTCTCCTCCTGTGGCTGCTTCCCCCCTGCTCTCTTCCTGTGGCTGCTTCCCCCCCTACTCTCCTGTGGCTGCTTCCCCCCTGCTCTCCTGTGGCTGCTTTCCCTGCCCCCCACGCCACTCTCCTGAGGCTGCTTCTGCTCCTGAACCCAGACTACTCCTGGGAAGAGCCCAGCAGCTGCACAGATGAGAAAGGGCAGAGTCCGTGGACGCACCGTCAGGTCCTGCAGTTGATGACGAGGTTGGGGTGGCCCGGCAAAGCAGGAGTCAGTGTGTCTGGGGCAGGTGCCCCATAAACTCTTTGCCCCTTTGAAGTCGTTTGGTTGTTGTGGTTTGTGGTGCTGGGTATTGGACGCAGGAATGCAGGAGTCCAAGGCAAAGGCTCTCCCACCAAACCAGGTCCCAGGTCCCTGATTGAGTTGTGATCTCTTTTTAATTTGGACATTAGCACTTTATTGGATATACTCTCTGCAACAATTTTTCCTTCTTTCTTCTTCCTTCTCCCCCCCCCCCCCCCCACACACACACTCCTTCTACTACTCTCCCTCTCCCTTCTCCTCCTATTTTTTGGCCATACCTGACTATGCTTAAGAATCATTCTGGGGCTGGAGCTATAGTCCAGTGGGGAGGGTGTTTGTCTTGCACACAGCTGACCAGGGTTCAATCCCCAGCATCCCATGTGGTCCCCTGAGCATTTCCAGGAATAATTAGTAATTTCTGAGTACAGAGCCAGGAGTCACCCCCTGAGCATAACGAGGTGTGACCCAAGAAGAAAAAAAAAAAGCAAAAAGAAGTAAGAAAGAAAGTAGACAAAATAAAAGGGAAAAAAAAAGAGTTATTCCTGGTTCTGTACTCAGAGTAACTATGGCAATGCTCAGAGGCCAGGAATTGAAACAGAGTTGACCACATACAAGGCTTAATGCTTGTAATCTCTCTGGCCCTTCACTGAATCTTTTTTCTTCTTTGTTTTTTTTTTTTTTTGGCTTTTTGGGTCACACTTGGTAATGCATAGGGGTTACTTCTGGCTCTGAACTCAGAAATCACTCCTGGCAGTGCTCAGGGGACCATATGGGTTGCCGGGAATTGAACCCAGGTCAGCCACATACAAGGCAAACGCCCTACCCGCTGTACTATCACTCCAGCCCCCTTCACTGAATCTTAAAGCCAGTCTTTCACTGGTGATTTAGCTCAGTGGTCAAATGTTTGCCTTGCACATTTACGAGGCCTTGGATTCGATCCCCAGCACCACAAGGCCCCCTACCACAGACATGTGCGGACCCCCCCATACCTCCTCCCCCTACAAATCAAAGTTTGGGCCAGAGTGGCCTAGTGGGTAGAGTACTTACTTTGCATAGAGACAATCCAGATTTGACCCCCAGAATCCCATATGGTTCGCCAATCAATGCCAGGTGAGCACAGAACCACAAGTAAGCTCTGAGCACAGCTGGGTGTGCCCCCCCCCCCAAAAAAAAAACAGAAGCTAGAAATATAGCCCAGCAGATTGGGCTCTTGCCTTGCACATGGTTGACCAAGGTTCAATCCTCAACACATCATACAGACCCCTGAGCCCCACCAGGAGAGACCCCTGAGTGCAGAACGAAATGAAAACCCTGAGTACTGCCAGATGTTGCCCCCAAACAAAACAAAATAAAAACAAAACAACAACAACCCCAAAGTCTTTAAATTTTAAAAAATTTAAAAAGTCTTAACATTTAAAAAAATTAATTTTGCAAAATTAAGACATAAACTATTGGTTGGAGTGATAGTGAATAAGGCTCTTGCCTTGCATGTCTCCTAACCCGGGATTGATCCCCAGCACCCCATATGGTCTCTGAGCACTGCCAGGAGTGATCCCTGAGTACAGTGCCGGGAGGAAGCCCGGAGCACTGCGGGGTATGGTGATCCCAAAACCAAACACACACACACACACACACACACACACACACACGCTATTAAGAGTAATAAAACAGCTCTGCCCTACAATCACTGAGTGAGACCCAGCAGCACTGGGACCCCCTGCCCCCCACCCTCCAAGAGTGTGTGAGCTTCACAACTAAGTGTGTGACGCCAGGAACACATGTGGAAGCACGACAGTCAGACATATGCAGACCCTCCGGACCCCACCCCACCCCATCATCACAGCAGCAGGGCTGGGTGTGGGGCTGGGTGGTAAGGCGTATGCCTGGTGTATTTGAGCTCAGTCCTGCCAAAACCCTCACCAGAACCAAGTACCCAAAACGAAAAGCTGCCACCACTGCCTGCACCAAGAAGAAAAGGGAAGTGGGGACTGGACAACATAGTTCAGTGGGTAGGGCTTTTACCTGGCATGTGGCCGACCTAGGTTCCATCCCTGGGACCCCATATGGTGGCCCGAGCACCATCAGGAGTAATTACTGAGTGCAGAGCCAGGAGTAAGCCCTGAGTAAGTTGGGTATGAGACCACCCCCCCCCCAAAAAAAAGAAGAAAGAAAAGGGAAGTTGAAGTAAAGAAAAACAGAAGAAGGGGGCGCCCCCCCTCCAGCCCCCTTGAGCAGTACAGTTTGAGTATCACAAGGCAGAAGAGGGAAGTGGTTAATTGTAGGCCCGGCCACCCTGGCACCCCAGGACATCTATGTCTGGGCAAGCGCCCCACTTCTCAAAACCTCTACACCCCTCAATAAATGGGGGCAATGAAACCCAATAGCCCTCGAGGGCAGCTTTGAGAGAGATGGAAGCGAGCCTGGGAGGTGGTGGGCCAGGGGACAAAGGAGAATCAGGCCCAGGACCATGGCAGAACCTCGCACTGGCAGGGGACAGAGTGGCCAAGGAATCCGACTTGCAGCCCCATCTCTGAGATGCCCTCACTGAGGCCAGAGAGGAACGGAACTGGTCCAAGTTTGGAGACTGGACAACCCTCTACTACCCTTTCAGCCCGGGGAGGATGGGGAACTAAGCAAGCAAGGCATGTTCTATTCAGTCATTTCCTTTCTAGAGAATAAGCATTTGCCCGTTTCCGGAAACGTCCAAGGAGCCGCATCAATCCATAGGTCTGCCCAGAAACAAGTGATCAGGCTCCAGGCAGCCAATGGAAACGCAGTGGCCCGTCCACCTGCTCTGGAGGAAGGTAGCTTTGCCCAAGTTCAGGGGATGGGGGATGGGGGGTATTTCCAACGCTTGGACTTTCACTTCCACTTCACCAGGTGGGCGGAGTGACCTCTAGGGGACGAATCAGATTCCTCCTCAGCCCCACTTGAAGCTGCAGGAGCGTGCAGGGGCCTCACACTTGCAGCCACCCTCAACAGCAAACAACAGCGAAGCAGCAGCAGCAGCACCACCACCACCATGGAGGAGCAGCGTGACCTCATCAACAGCCACGAGCAACTCCCCATTCTTGGCCAACACCCCAGGGCCCAGCAGAGGTACGTGTATGCCAGAGGGGGCTCCTCGGTGTCCCAGGCACCCGGTGTGCAGGGGCGGGGAAGGAGCCCAAGACCCCGGCGACAGGTAGGACACGGCTGTGCTCTGACGCCGACGCTAACTGGTATCAGCGCAAGTCTCTGGTCCGCTCCGGCTTCTCCCCATAAAGCGAAGGGGCTCCCTTAGGGAGATCGGGAGATGCCGGACCCTTCCCGACCGTCACGTACCCGCTTCACAGAGCCCCGAAGCCAGAAGCACCAGACTATGGAGGTGTGGCGGGCGCTGATGGAGAGCCAGTTTCTTCCTTCCCTTTCTGTTTTTTTTTTCCCTACTCCCCATCCCTCCTTTCTTCCTTGACCTCCAGCTGCTGCACTTGAGGACCTCGGGGTGAGGGATCAGAGCCGGGGGCTCCCACTTGTAGAACTTTATGTCCCATCTCTTTAGCTGCTTCCTCAATCCAAAACAAAGCTTCTTACAGAGTCGTAAGAGCAGGTTAAACCTCAAGTTTCCCCATCCCCCATGGACAGGGACCCCCCATGTTTATTCAGGGAGCTACCTCACAGAGATCTCTCCAGATGGGGATGTCCCAGAGAGTATGAGAGTGATTGGAAGAGGTTCGAGAAAGAGTGGGGGGTTTGGGTTAATTTTATTGGGGCTGGTGAAGTTTGATGTGGTCGGTGTCCTGCCAGGGTCCTTATTCCCTGTACCCAGAGCCCAGCACAGCCATCTAGAATATTCTCTCTTCCTGCCCCAAGACTGCCTTGCTCTTGTGTTTCCCTGTTAAAAAAAAAAAAAGGAAAAGAAAAAGAAAAAGAGGAAGGGGCTATCATGCAACTATTCCCAAGCTTCTTCTCCCCCAATCTCTTAAAGTGATTTACAAATCACAGAGATTCACAGCTGTGACGTCAGCTGTTACCAGGCAGAAAGGGTTTCAGAGAGGCCCGCAGAGGAGCTGTCCCTCGGGGGACAGGTAACTGGATATGGACGCGTGGGCCATTCATGCGGTAGCCTGCGAAAACCCCCCAGGAAGCCATAGCTGGCAGGGGTGACTCTTGTCAGGGCAGATTCTGCTCTTGTCTTGGGTGGATAAATCAGCTTCTTCCCCTTGGCTCAATAATAGTAACAATAGTAACCATCACAGTAATAGTTCTACTCATATAACTGTTGTAGTAATTACTGTCGTTAGTCACCTACAAAATACTTAGCGTTCAACTCCATCCTAATTCTCACAGTAACTGGATTTGGGTGCTTTTTTGTTTTGATTTGGGAGGTCACCCCTTGAAGCGCTTGGGGGTTTTATCTATTCCTGGATCTGTGCTTGGGGGGTCACACCTGGTGAAGCTCAGAAGACCATGCAGCGCTGGGAATCGAACCCAGGCCTCCTGTATGAGCTGGGTACTCCTATTATCCCCCTTTTTTACCCAAGGGAAAATGGAGACTCATATCGGCAGGTGACAAGGCTGAGGGAGCCCAGATGCGAGTGTGAAATCAGAATAGTCTGATCCAGGGGGTGGGAGCCGCTCCCTCTACTGCCCAGGCCCCATCTCAAGGGTCAGTGTGCAGGGAGGGAGGGCCAGCAAGGGGCAGCGTCGGGGTGGGCAGTGCTCCCAGCCAGCACCCCATGGCCCTTCAGTCTAGCTGCAACCCCCACGACAGCTTGGCCCGAGCGCAGGTCATTCCAGACTCAGGCCTGTTTAGGACCTGCCAGGGAACACTTCTGCCTGGCAACGCGTTTGTCAGGAGTCCTGCTAGTTCTGATTGGCTCCTGACTTTAATGGTTCTTCCTTCTAATTGGAGGAGGAGGCAGTGGAAAGGAGGAAATGAGAGGGTGCTAAGAGTTGGTTCTCGTCTAGAACCAGAGAAGAGGCATTCAGGATGCAAAAGGGGAAGGAAACCAAATCCTGAACTTGCCCATCACAACTGTCCCCCAGAATGACATTTGGGGTCACCTACGAAGTGAGTGCTGACCAGGTGCTTGGTATGCAGCCAGGAGCTTTCCCCTACCATTCCAACAGCCCTTTGGACCCCGAGATAAGACAGCCGTGAGGAGTCCAGTCCAGGTTATATGGTCTAATGTGATAGGAATCTAGATTCTTGGGCTTTATGAAACGCTGATGTAGAGAGAAGGGAAGGAATGTCCCTAACCAAGGATTTTTGCTTTCTCCTTCCAGAATTACAATCCTCTGGGCTGGGCCCGGCAAGCAGAGAGCCAATGAAAGAAAGCTGTGTCTGTGATGTTTCTAGGGAGAAGGTTGCAGAGCTCTGGCCCACCCATGGGCTACAAAGGGACCTCAGACGCCAGGGAGCCCTTAAGGCTCTGGCTTCTGCGGAGGCATGCGCACGTTACAGTGCGAAGGTCATAAGGACTGTTCCCCAGGCAGCCGCTTCCTCCCACCTTACCTGGGGTGGGGGCACACGGGACGCTGGCAGCCAGAGGCCTCGGGAATCTCCAGGGGGTCCTTCTGCCTGGTCACTCTTGACATGGGAACGGCTCATTCTCATCGGCTCCTGTTTGTCAGGCTTTTGTCTCTGGATTTTCTGTTCTTTGCCTCTGGACAAGGGTCATGCTCAGAGGATGTTCCCCCCACACGCCCCCCCCCCCTCGAGTGGGCAGTACCTGACTCCAGGGCCCCCAGCCTGTGCCCACTCCTCCTTTTAGGCGCACTCTCTCTGAGTCTCATCTCAGTGCCTGGGCAGAGGGGCAGGAACCCCTTCATCTGGGGGCCCCAGCCTGCCCTCAGGTCTCAGGACGGAGAGTGCCTGGAGACTCCCCCTCGGTGGCTCTTGTGGCACAAGCGGCCAGAGGCCCAAAGAGGACGAGGCTTGTCCTTGGCCCCCGCCACAGCCCAGGACAACTCAGCTCATGGAGCCGGGAAGGCTGTCGCGGCAGAGGAGGCTGGAAGTAGGGCTGTGTCTTCCAGCTGCAGGTCCAGACACCGTCTATGTGTCTGTGACAGGGAGCCTGGGAGGGGGCTGATGGCCGTGGGGGCGTGGTCCTCATTCCCAGCTGCCCTGGGCCGGCCATCGTAGAGGATTTGCCCCTGACCTGAGGTCCTCCTTTCCCTCCTCAGCAACTGCAGCCGTGGAGCCCTGGCCACTGGCTTCTCTATCATGGTGGCCCTGCTCCTGGCTGGCCAGGCCACCATGGCCTACTTCCTGTACCAGCAGCAGGGACGTCTGGACAAGCTGATGGTGACCTCTCAGACTCTGAAGATGGAACAGCTGCGCCTGAGCCTTCCCAAGTGTGCGTGTCAGGGCCGGCGTGATAGCACAGAGGGAAGGGGGTTTGCCTTGCCCGCAGCTGACGTGGGGTCAATCCCCAGTATCCCATATAGTCCCCCAAGCACCATCAGGAGTGATTTCTGATGCATAACCAGAGTAACTCCTGATCATCGTCGGGTGTGGCCCAAACAAAAACAGAGGGTTGGGGCTGGAGCAATAATACAGCGGGTATGGTGGGTACGGTGTTTGCCTTGCATGCGGCCAATCCCCAGCATCCCATATGGTCCCCCGAGCACCACCAGGAGTAATTCCTGAGTGCATGAGCCAGGAGTAACCTCTGCGCATTGCCAGGTGTGACCCAAAAAGCCAAAAAAAAAAAAAACACCAAAAAACCAGAGGGTGCTTGTCCCAACCCAGCCCCTCACCTCAGAGACCCAGTCCTGGGCCCACTGAGAGCCTAGCTCCTCCCACGGCTGGGGGGAGTGCCCCCTTCCTGGACATGGGGGTCCCACTCATGCGGTACCCCTGCCCCCACAGCTGCCAAGCCTGTGGGCAAGTACCGAATGGCCGCTCCCATGATGATGCAGGCACTGCCCATGGCGGAGCAGTTCCAGAAGGTAAGGGGGCTCTAGGGGTGGGGAGGGCAGGACCTTGTTTGAATGACTGCATGTGCCAGGCAACGGCCAGGGAGGACAGTGGGTCTGGACAGTTCATGAGGGCAGAGATGGTGCCTGGCGGAGCCACCTCAGGAAGAGGAGGGTGCCCTGGACTGGGCGGGCAGGGTCCCCCGAGGTCCTACCTGGGAGGGACGTGGGCAGTTCCACGGTCCTGTCCCTTCCCAGTGCCTGGCCATTCTCAAGGACACATGTGATCACTAAGGAAACTGTGGCCCCAGCCGGGCTGGAAAGGGGCCTGCGGGGGCCTCACAGTCAGAGGTGGTGGAAATGAGCCCACTGGGCCTGGAACCCCCAAATCTGATGTGGCCCCCGATTCTGGGGGTCCCCTTGGCCGGTCTCTGTGGGCCAGCGCTGATAACCCAGCTCCTTCCCTGCCCAGCCCCTGCAGAACGCCACCAAGTACGGCAACGCCACGCAGGACCACGTCATGCACCTGCTCCAGGTGAGAGGCCCAGGCTCTGCGGGCAGCTCGGCGGGCATGCTGCCCCGTTCCCCAGAGTGTTTGAGATGGGGGAAACCACGCCCACAGCCCGGAGGTCGCCTGCTCCACGTGCCATTTCCCCTTCTCAGGTCTTTTGCCTGCATCGTGCAGGGTCCGGGCCCTCTGGGCAGAGCCCCCACTGGCTTCCAGCCACAGGGGGATCCCTGGCTAGCTAAAGAGACCGTGTCCAGGGGCGGACAGACACGTGGGGGTGGGGTGGGGGGGCTGTGTCAGGACCTGGTATAGCCAGGGAAGGGGCCCAGGAAGTCTTCCTGGAGGAGGTGAGACCTAATGAGGGAGAAGCCTGGGGCGGGGGGCTGGCAGAACTGGCTAGAACCTCTCCGCTTGCAAGGCAAGTGCCCTCCCCACTGTGCTCCGGCCCCAGGGAGCTCTAACCTTCCTCCCTTCCCCGGACCCCTGCAGAGGGCTGACCCCCTGAAGGAGTACCCGCAGATGAAGGGCAGCTTCCCGGAGAACCTGAAGCAACTCAAGGACAGCATGAGCAGCCTGGAGTGGAAGGTCAGCTGGTTCCCAGTGGAAGGGCTGAGGGGGCCCCCTTGACCTGCGGTCCCGAGGGGGCAGGGTTGAGGTGCCCATCCCCGTCTGTCCCCTCAGGCCTTCGAGGGCTGGATGCACCAGTGGCTCCTGTTTGAGATGAGCAAGAACTCCCAGGACGTGGGCCCCACAGAGGCGCCAACCAAAGGTACCCGAGCGGGGCCTGGGGGGGGGCAGGGCAACTGAGAGCTCACGCGGGCTCTCCTGGTGGTGACCCCTGACCTGAACAGAACCCCCCAGCCTCTCTCCTCTCTCCTCTCCTACCTTCTCCTCCTGGGCTGGCTGCCCCCCTCTCCCCCGGCACTTCCTGTACAGATCACGTGTGTGAGACAGAACCACCCAAATGTCCAGGAATCCCAAAGCCAGCGCAGCACCCCCGGGCAGGCAGGGGCCCGTGGTCCCTGCCTTCAGCACCCGAGGCCCTCAGCAGGCACTGCTGCTGGCCTGTCCTTGAGGCTGTTTGTGCCTCCTCCCCCAGGGCCATCTCATTTCCCCTTAACTTGGGGTTCTTGACTCTGGGCTGGCCTCAGCAGTGGAACCCCAGCCCCGCACCCCCAGGTCAACTCTGCTTCACAGTTCCAGGTCGTGCCTTTGAGGCTCGCGGCCCTCTCTGGGCTGAGGCTGGGATCTCCTTGATATCAGTCCCAAGACACAGTGTACCCCCCTTCCTCCTCCTTGGGAGCCCCTGAGTGTTGGGGCACGATGGCGGCCACATTCCTTCTGTCTGGGGCTGCTCTGGTCCGGGTGCCTCCCCATGTGCACGGTGGGCAGGAGTCGTGGGGGCCCACGCGCCCTCACGATCCACCTGCCTGTCGCTTCAGCACTGACCAAGTGCCAGGAGGAGGTCAGCCGCGTCTCGGCCGTCCATCCGGGCTCGTTCCGTCCCAAGTGTGACGAGAACGGCAACTACCTGCCGCTGCAGTGCTATGGCAGCATCGGCTACTGCTGGTGCGTCTTCCCCAACGGCACCGAGGTCCCCAACACCAGGAGCCGGGGGCACCTGAACTGCAGTGGTAAGCGGAGCCCCGGCACAGCTAGAGCAGTCTTCCTGACGGACCGAGCCCGGGGGCAGCCACTCAGCCGTCCCCACCTGTCCTCCCTCTCCTATTTCTCTCACTCACCCTGTCAACAACCCCCTCCTCCAGCGGGCGGGCGTACCTGCACCCTCGCCCACACTGCACAGCTGCTCCCAGCTTCCTCACCAGCAGCCCTCCGGGCCTGGCCCAGCACCTGGCGGGGGCAGTGGTCTGGGCAAGAGTGACCCCTGGTCCTGTGCTCCTTTGCAGACCCCCTGGAAATGGAGGAGCTGTGGTCTGGAGAGGGAGTGACCACGGAGAAGCTTCGCCTAGGCAAGTGCCTGGCGGGCAGGGCAGGGTTGGTGTGTGTGTGATGCTGGGAGAGGACAAGAGCCCCCCTAAGTGTTGCTTCTCTTCTCTGCAGCTCTTTGAGAGCAGCTGATGCAGACACCAGCCCCCCAGGAACCAGGCAGCAACAGCTCTTCGCCCTGACCCTGCTGCCATGAACCCCTTGCTGCCCCCCAACCTGCTCTCACCCCAGTACCTGAGACCCAACACAACAGATCCTGCCAAAAGATGGCCCAGGACCTGTCAGGACCTGCCTCTGGGCACCCACGAAGTCTCCTTCCCTCATGCTTAGGCTGTGACTTTCCAGCCCGGATGTGGGGGGGGGGGGGGTGGTGGTGGTGGGGGCAGTGAAACAGAATTCTGCCCACCCACCTGCTCCTCACTGTCCTGAGTCCCCTCAGCTGAGCCAGCTTGTCACTACCCCTGGGGGCGACAGCTTGTGTGACAATAAAACGTAGTCAGTAGAATCCTCCTGCCTCCTGCGGTGCTGTGGGACCAGTCCTCATTGCCACAAGGGGACCGAAGACCCCAAAGGCAGGGCTGTGCGGGAAAAGCATGAAGGGTGCCTCCCAGGCGCCCGGGAGGCTGAGCCAGAGGTGACATCTGGACACTCCATGTGTGTCTGGCGCAGGGGACAGGGCCCAGGGCACGCTGCCCCAGAGCCACGCCTGGCCTGGTTTCTGTGTCAACACAGGACTCCCACCCGCTAGGTGAACAGAGGCTGGGCATGCATGGGCCCCGGCTCCACCCCCAGCGGTGTGAAGGCAGGTGCCTCCCGTGTGGGGACCTCCGAGGAGCCAGGGCCGTGCCACAAGGGTCCCTGCTCTAGGCACAGCCTGCAACCTTGTGGAAGGAGGCCCAAGTGCTTTTTGGGTCACACTCAGCGATGCACAGAGGTTACTCCTGGCTCTGCACTCAGGAATCACCCCAGGCAGTGTTCAGGGGACCATATGGGATGCTGGGAATCGAACCCGGGTTGGCCACGTGCAAGGCAAATGCCCTAAAGCCTGTGCTCTACTGCTCCAGCCCCGAGGAGGCCCAAGTGAAGAAGCGCAGTGGGCCTCTCCATGTCGAGGCTTATTTCATTGACTTCTTTAGATTTTCGGCCATGCCCAGCAGTGCTCCCGGGCTGATTCCAGCTGGGTGTCGGGTCTCACGCGGTGCAAAATGTCAGGGGCTCCGGCATGCGGGTGGAGCTGTCACTCCAGCCTGCCAATGCTAAGCCTAAAGCCACCAGGGCATTGGGGGCCTCGTTCTCACCCACATGCCCATGGGCAGGTGCTTCAGGAGAGAGATCTCCATGAGCCGAGGGAGGCTGCACGGGCCTGGGCCCAGGGCCCAGGGGAGAGCGGGGGTGGGGCTCTGCACCGCCACCTGATATGATCTCGGCTCCTGCACCTTCCGTCTCCACCGGCCTGACCTTGTGGCGCTGTGGGGCTGACAGCAGCCTGGGGAGCCGCTGCGAGCCCTGCGTGAGCGCCCCTCAGCTCACAGTGCATCCCACAGACCCCTCAGGTCCCCCGAGTGCCTATGGCAGTGGAAACAGACTGAGCAGCTACTTACGGGCGCCAGTCGGACGCCCCTCCCAGGAAAAGCAAGTGCAGACCTTGACTTTTTGTCCTTCTCCTGCAAGTACTTTAATTTTGGAGTTTTTTTTTTTTAAACAAAAACACACACACACACGAATAGAACTGGGTAAAAGACTGACAAGAGGTGAGAGCCGGGCAGGGAAGAAGCTGCAGTGCGACCCACTGGGCCTGCAGGACGGAGGGAGAAGAGGCAGGTCACTTAAAAAAATAAGATCTACTGTACACATCTACACTCAGTGCCCGTCAGGACGGGGCCAGGCGTGAGTGAGTGAGGTCACCGGAGCCAGCACTTTGCCCTGGCCCAGCCTCCCTGCAGGCTCCTGGGCTGGGCCGGGATGGACACAGGACGGAGGGAGGGGCGGATACAAATGCAATATTCCAACTCATGGCAGGTGGAGGGCAGAGGCAGGGGCTGGGCACCTCTTGGCAACTGTCCCTGAGGGAAGAAACAGCCACGTTGACATTCCCGACCCTTTTCTCCTCCAAGCCGAACCAAATCCAGTCCAACCCTGGCACCTCGGGGCAGGCAGGTGGGCAGGCACGCCTCGGGAGCTGGGCGGGCACTCTTCTCTCTCTCGTTGCCTGGGGCATACGCGGCAGAGCTCAGGGTTTACTCCTGGCTCTGTGCTCAGGGGTCACTCTTGGGTGGTACGGGGGGCCTTAGGGGACGTTGGGGGCTGAGCCTGGGTTGGCCGCGTGCCGGGCAAGTGCCCTCCCCGCTGAGCCCTCTCTCCAGCCCCTTGGGGGCCTGCCTCGGAGCTGTCCTGCGACCTCTCCACTTACGGGAGGCAGGGGCCAGGACGCTGCCTAGTCAAGGGCACACGTGACCCCGCCACCACCCCTGGGAGCGTCAGCGGGCAGCGTGGCCTGCGGAGGAAAGCCTCGTTATGGATCCAGGGAGTGGACGCGGGCAGCGGCCGGGGCACCTGCGCTGTGCCCACCACCTCCGCCCTTGCCCCGCCACATGTGCCGGGGTCCTTCTGGCTTCACCCCCCTGACCTGGAGGAGCCAGGCCCTCTTCCTCCGGGCCCCCAGGGGGCAGGACAAGTACCTGCTGCTCGTATCCTCACACAGGCGCCTCTGCCTTCTTCTTCTGCGGGGAGAGAAGAGTTAACCCGAGGTGGCACTCTGCCCGAGCACACAGAGACGGGGTTCCCAGGGCTCCTGGGGGCGGGGCGGTGCTCCCCGGAGGAAGGGGAGCAGCTGAGGGTCTCTCCACGTGAGAATGTCACCACACAGTGGGCAGAGCGCCCCCTGCCGGGGACCCACTCCTGCACCCCACAAGGCCGAGTCTGCAGATTCCTACTGGCCAGGCTCCTCGCAGAGGGGAAGTTCCCTCACGGGACTCCCAGGTCTCTGGGAACCCGTCCCACACCACCCTGACATGCCCACAGAGCAGAATACTCCCTCGGGGCAGCCATGGTTCCTCTCTGGGCCCCAAGACAGCCCAGGGAGACCAGTCTCACTCACCAACCCCCCGCGAGCCCCAACACCCCAAGTACTCCCTGTACCTTTTTCTTCTTTTTCTTCTGCAATAATACATCGCTGTCTTTGGTTGAGGCCTTCTTAGCTTTCTTTTTCTTTTCCCTTTTCTCCTTGTCTTTTTTTTCTGAAGGAAGCAAGCAAGCGTTTCAACAAAAGGTGCAGCTCGAGTGCAGGGATACCAGGAGAGTCTCTCCCTGCCTGGGTTTTGGGGACAACCTAGCGGTATTTGTCTTTGACCTACTTAAAACAGCATCTACACATGTATTTCAAGCAGATCCTTTCTGAGCTGGAGAGAGAACACAGTGGAGGGGGCACTTGCCTGGCCCGTGGCTGGCCTGGGTTAGGACTCTGGCATCCCAGTGGTCCCCTGAGTCCTGCCAGGAGTGAGCCCCGAGAGAGCACAGAGCTCTTGGGTGTGGCCCCCAAACAAAACAAGAAACAAATACTTGCTATTTCTCCAGATCACACCAGCAGCACTCAGGGTTTATTCCTGACTCTGCACTCAGGAATTAGTTCTGGGGGGGGCTCGAGGGACCACATGGGGTACTGGGGACCAAACCTGGAACCCAGGTCGGCTGTGTGTGAGGCAAGGCCCCACCCACTGTACCATCTCTCTGGCGCCCAGACACCTTTTCCCTCTGAAGTGAAAATGAACCTTGTGGCCCAGGATCTGGCACGTTCGGTGCCTGGCCGAGCTCGGTGAGGGCACACCTGGGAGCCAGGAGCCCGTATCTGTGCCACTGCCCGCCCCGAATCCCGTCTCCTCGCTCCCCTGTGGCCAGCCAAGGGTACTGAGGCCGGGATGCAGCCCACTTACTCTTTTTTTGGTTTTTGGGTCACACCAGGTGACACACAGGGATTACTCCTGGCTCATGCACTCAGGAATTACTCCTGGTGGTGCTCAGGGGACCATATGGGATGCTGGGAATCGAACCTGGGTTGGCCGCGTGCAAGGCAAACACCCTACCTGCTGTGCTATCATTCCAGCCCTCAGCCCACTTACTCTTACTGGACTTGTCCTTCTTGTTCTTCAGGTTGCTGTCCTTGATGTCCACCTGCCCCTGGGTCCCTTCTGGTTTCCCTGTGGCCACGCAGGAGCCGGGACCCGCCTTCTTTTTCTTCTTCTTCTTTGAGTCCCCACTTGGTCTGTCTTTCTTGGGCTTCCCTCTGGAAGTGGCGGGGGCCTTCTCCGGGGAGGCGGTGCCCTCCCCACCTTCCTGGGCTGCCAGCTGCTTCTTTTTCTTCTCTGGGGCCTTGGCGGTCAACTGGTCCCCCTGCAGTTTCCGTTTGTGGCCTGCACGGCCCTTGCTGCTACTGTCCTTGGGGGTCTCCAGGGCCTTCCTGCGCTCCTGCTCCAGCAGCTCGGCCAGGACCTTCACCACCGAGGCCTGTACCTGCGCCTCGCTCAGCGGCCACGGCTCGCTCAGGAGCCGCTGGGCAATGTCACTCTGCAGGGCCAGCACCGAGGCCTGGGGGTTCACAGCCTCCTTCGGGGGCTTCTGAGGACTGCTGCCAGCCTTGCTGTGGCCTGCGGAGAGGCGGCAGGAGTCATGGCTCTGGGAGTCCGAGCATGCAAGCCAAGGCGGGCAGGGCGGTGAGCCCCACCCCCCAGCCCCCAGCCCCCAGCAAGGGTCCAAGAGGGAGTGAGGCCTGCTGGCCCTGCCTCGTGCCATAGACCGGATCGGGCAGGGGTGGAAAGTGCCTTCAGGACACAAAAGGTGGGGCTGGAGCGACAGCACAGCGGGTAGGGTGTTGGCTTTGCATGTGGCTGACCTGGGTTCGTTTCCCAGCATCCCATATGGTCCCCTTGCACCGCCAGGAGTAATTCCTGAGTGCAAAGCCAGGAGTAAGACCTGAGCATCGCCGGGTGTGACCCAAAAAAAGAACACAAAAGTTCAGGAAATGCCGAGGCAATAACTGGGGGGGGGGGCAGGTGGAACACTTGGCGGCTGAGCCAGCTGGGGGCCGTGGGGGCCCCACAGACTCTCTCTGGCTTTCTCCCGCAGGGGGGACAGCACCCGTTAACCAGGGGGGCCTCTCTGTCTTGACACAGGAAGGCAGATTTCTGGAGGGTACCCTGAGGCTGCCTTTGTGACAGAGAGGTGTAGGTCCAATAAGGCCCGGGACCCTGGACTCAGGGAAGAGTGAGTAGCCCCGAGCTAAAATAGTCCCCCCCACCACCCACTGCCTACCTGCGGTGGGGGAGGGGGGCACTATTTAGTCTGGGCGTGCTGGGTGTGGTGGAGACACATGCCGGCTTTCCCGGCCCACCCGAGCAGCATCTGTGATGAGAATTTTGCCCACCTCTGCTCGTCTCAGTGTGACTACACATGCGGACGGACCTTCGCAGCAACAGGCTGACTGGCCTACAGCAGAGCTGGGGTGAGGGAACAGACTGACCGTCCCTTCCCACGGCCCAGCAGGCCTCCTCGCGGGGTCTGGGCCCTGGCCTGCCTTGTGCCCTCTCAAACACCCCAGGACGACAGGGCTGGGCCACCTCCAAGAGCTGCCCTGAAGAGCCTTATATCACTAAATGTCCAAATACAAATGACTCAAGTTTGCTTTTTTTCCCCCATTTTTTGGGTCACACCTGTGGTGATGTGGGGTTACTCCTGGTTACTCCTGGGGGGAGTATTGGGGGACTATATGGGATGCTAAGGGCTCACCCTGGGTCGGCCGCATGCAATACAAACACCCTACCTGCCGTACTACCGCACCAGCCCCCCTATTTTGCTCCGTCTGGCGGTGCTCAGGGACCACATGGGATGCTGGAGATAGAACCCGGTCAGCCATGTGTAAGGCAAACGCCCTCCCCGCTGTGCTACCCTGCGCCCCCCAGGAGCGACCTTCCTAAGAGAGCTGGGCCTTGACACCCCCTGACCCCTGAGGCTGGGGGGGGGGTGAGGGCAGACACTGCGAGACCTCCAGCCTCTCCACCGACTGGCCGGACTGCTGCTGAGGGAGCTTGCGCGCTCTCTCTCTCTCTCTCTCTCTCTCTCTCTCTCTCTCTCTCTTTCTCTCTCTCTCTCTCCCCCCACTCAGGGGCAGCGTGTCCAGGGGACCCTGCACCGTCCCGCCGTGCCCTCGCCTGACGTACCTGCTGCGGGGGAGGTGACGCCTGCTGCGTGTGGGGGCCCCCCGCCCTGCTTGCCGCGGGGAGCATCTTTGGCGGCCGGAGCAGAGGCGCCCGAGGCACTGGGGTGCGGCCTGGGGATGGCCTTGGCGGGCTGGAAAGGGGTCACGCAACCTGAGAGGAGAGACTGAAGAGGCCCGTGTGAGAGGGGCCGAGCCGACCCCTCCTGGTCGCCCCCGCCCCCGGCTCCCCCCAACATACCTGGGAGGGCTCTGGCTCCTCGTCCTCGCTGGACTCTGCCGAGGTTTCCTCCACCACCGTCTCCTTGCTGGACCCTGCATCTACACACAAGCAGCGGCTCCTGCTGGGCCTGGCCGCGGCCGCCCTCCCCCCTGCCCCCCAACCCTCGCCCCACAGCAACCCCCCTCCTGTGGGGAGAAGCCAGACAGAGGAAGGGACCAGGGCATGGGGGGGCGGGGGGGGAACTGAGGCCCAGGCAGGCCCTCGCTGCCTCCCGGATGCTCACCCAGGCGGGGCTGCTGGTTCTCCTCACTCCCGGAAGAGCTGTCTTCACTGTCACCCGAGGTCCCAGAGTCGGCAGCTTTGGTGGGTGCTGAGGCAATGGCGGTGGCCCGGGCATGTGTGGGGGTTCCATGGGACGTGGTCGCGGTGTGGGTCATCGGAGCAGTGCCCCCCTAAGTGGGTGGACGGAGAGAGAAGGCAGGCGCGCTCAGGCATGGGAAGGCTGTTTCCCTAGCACCTTCCATGGCCAGGAGGTGAGCGCACACCCAGAGCAAGGCGCCGGGCTCAGCCACGGGGGACATGCTACCCTGCGGGTTCGGCTCACCCCAGCTGCAGGCGGGGTCCTGGCGGCAGGAGACTGCGCCTCACTGGTTTTCTGGGCGAGAACCTTGAGGGTGGCCTGGGTCAGCGGGAGGCTGCCTGACTTCTTCTTCGTCACCTGTGGACAGTCAAAGGCAGCCCTGAGACTTGGCTCCCTGGACACTGGCTTGTGACATCCGGGGGCAGTGGAGAGGACTGAGGGTGGGCAATGGGTCGATGCTTTCACGGGTTTCCCAGAGGCCCAAACCCGCCCAACCCAGGGCTGGGAAATAGCCAGTGCTCCCAGGGCATCTCCAGAAAGCGGTGCCTTCGCGGGGGGCCAACATGGGGACAGGGCCACAGCCTCGAGTCTCCCTGGTCCCTCCTACACCCCATGCCCCAGCACGCAGTGTGTCGCTCCCTCAGTTCCACACAAACACCGCCGAGATCCCCGCTCTGGGTCCGGAAGGCCCCCAGCCCTGGCCTGGCTGCTCTCCCTGCTTCTAAGTCTCCGGCAAAGAGACCACCCTGCCGGCTTCCTAAAGCAGGTCACCCCATCACTCCTGAGCTCCCAGTGCTGCTTCAGAGCCCATGATTTGTAACGGGAAACATGGACTTGGTCTTTGTCCCCTTCTGGGCACAGGGCTCCCGAACTCCGGGGGCTTCCCCAGGGCTGAGCGCGATACAGGTGCCTGACTCGGTGAGCGAGCAGAGTCCTAGGAGCACCGAGGGTTTTCACTTTTCAGCCCACACGGATCCCCGAGGCTGAGGTCCCACAGGGATACATACCCTCCCCCCTCGCGACCTCGTGAATCTGCCTCCATCCCTGCGGAGCCCTGTTAGGGAAACGCTTCTGAGCTCTGAGAGCTGCTCAGGCCATCTGAGCCCTGTAGGTGGCCTGTGTAGCTGGTGACCTCCTGGGCTTGTGACCGGTAGCTGAAGTGGGGGAGGGTCACAGTCCAGTGGGACGGAGCCCCCCACGCCCCAAATCCGTTGCCACCTCAAGTGTGAGAGAGTGTGATCCCGTGGGTCCCAGTGTGTGAGGCAGGACCCGCTTGGTCCTTTTGGGAAGTCCTGCTTTCCCGGGCAGGGCTGGTCCCACCGCCTGCATCCTCCCTGACTCTTCCTTCAGTGCCCCCACCGCCCAGCACACAGACGCCGGCTGAATGGACAGTGAGAGCTGCCAGCTGCTCCTCCCAGGGGCAACGGCCCTAGCTCCAGACCACCTACCTAGAGCTAAGGGGTGTGGGCCACAGGGGAAGGAACGCAACCTCCAGGGCCCAAGCTGGACCTGTCCTGGGCAAGTCTCAGGGCTCCTGGAGGGAGGAGCGCTCAGCGGCACCTTTAGATCTGTTGGGTTTCACCTACGGGCCATGGGGCACTCACTAAAGGCAACTCTGGGCCCTGCAGAACAAAGCCGTAGGGCAAACCGAGCGGAAGCAAAAAGCTGCTGGCAGAGCAGAGGCACTCCGGCCGGCAGAGCCGCCCACTGTGGCCGGGCTTCCACGCAACACCCCCGAGAAGCCCGAAGGTAATGGGGGTGGGGGTGGGGTGGTGTGTGGGGGAGGGGGGCTGGTGCTGGGACTGCAGCCAGCAGGAAGGGGCAGCCATGTGTGGTGACTGAGCAGAACGATGTCCCACTGCAGTGCCCTCCAGTCCCCCACACCTGCCAGGTACCTACCAAGCCCCCCCCCCCCCCCCGGCCGCACCTATCAGGTATCTGCGTGCCCTCACTGCAGTGCCCCTCCCCCCGCCGACCCCATGCCCGCCGGGTACCTGCGTGCCTGTCGCCTGTTGCTTCTTGCCATCCATCCCCTGGCTGGAGGTCTTGTTGCTGCTGGTCCCGGCAGGAGCGGCTTTGGGGCTGCTCCTTGGGAGGGCCATGGGCCCACTCACCGCACTGAGGCTAATGGCTGAAAGGGAGTGGGGGGGAGTGGTGTCAGGGCACAGAAGTCCCCAGAGCCCCCTGCTCACTCACGGTCTGTCACTGGGAGCTTGAGTACATGCCCCCCAGCCTCTAGGAGGGGTTAGGCTTCTCTACACTCAGATCTTGGTAGGCTGGTGATAATACACTGGCAGGGTGTTTGCCTTGCATGTGGCAGACCCAAGTTCCATCCCTGGCACGGGTGGTCCCCTGTGCCCTCCAGGAGTGATTCCTGAGTGTGGAGTCAGGAGGAACCCCTGAGCACCACTGGGTGTGGCACAAAAACAAAATAGGGAGGGAGGGATGAGAGAGAGAGAGAGAGAGAAGAGGGAGAGAGGAAGAGATGGAGGGAGAGAGGAAGGAGAGAGACGAGAGAGAGAGAGAGAGAGAGAGAGAGAGAGAGAGAGAGAGAGAGAGAGAAGGGGGGAGGGAGAGAGGGAGAGAGCAACAGTGAGGGGGAGAGATGCCTGGGCTGAGAATGTGGGTCAGGTGCCAGGACATTTGTCTTGCATGTGCAAGGCCCTGGGCATGACCCCTGGCAATTCTGGTCTGGCCAGTATTGTGGGGACAATATTGACTAAAAGAAAGAAACAGTGTTTTCATAACTGCCACTTGAAAATGCGTGCTGGTGTGGGTGGTGCTTTTTCCCCTCGGGGTGGAGGGGCAGGACCAGGGACTCAGACGGGAGGCATGCGAGGCTCTGCGCTGGGCTGCGTCCCTCCCCTCTTCCAGCCGAGCCCGAGAACTGAGCACAGGTGGACTCGGCCCTTCTGGGGGCAGGGCCTGGGCTGTGTGGCAGAAGCAGGGCTGTGGGGGTGCCGTGGGGTGTTGTGTAAATGGGGGTTCGTGTGAGAGCTGAAGGGGTTCTTGACCACGACTGAGCCCTGAGGTGGGGCGGGGGGCTGCTAAGAGGCGGCCTGGGGTCCCCAGCTCAGGACCCTGATTCTTCTGGCGCCAGGGATGGAACCTGGGTCCGCAGCAGCAAGGCAAACGCCCTGCCCGCTGCTTTACTGCTTGCCTGCTAAGATCCGAGAGGAGCACTGTCACGAAAGGGGCTTTTTCAGTTGGGCGAGGGGTCTGCGTGTGCGCAGGAACTACACTCGGCGCTTACACACACCACGCGGGGCTGTACCCTTGCGGTCTCTGGATTGCAGTCTCTAGAAACAGCTTTTCCTGCCATGGTTGTTAGAATCAAAGGTTCCCAGAAGTCACAGACAGCTCCAGCTGTCTCCTACCAGCCATCACCCAACACGAACAGGGCCAGGGTCCGGGGGCTCACTCAGCCTTTTTTTTTTTTTGGGTCACAACCCACAGATATACAGGGTTACTCCTGGCTCTGCACTCAGGAATTACTCCTGGCAGTGCTAGGGGGACCATAAGAGATAGCGGGAATCGAACCCGGGTTGGTGGTGTGCAGGGCAAACAAACGCCCTACCCGCTGTGCTATCGTTCCAGCCCTCACTCGGGTTTCAGCTCTTACAAAACCCTCCTCAGACTGCCTGAAGCCATGGGTGGGCAGGTCCGAGTCTCTGTGGGACACGGCTGGCGCCTTGGCCCACGTCCCCGCTCACCGGGAGTGGAGCACTGCGTGGCGGGGATCACGTCCTCATCCTCGCTCTCGGAGGAGGAGCTCCTGGCCGTGCTCTCCGAGGCCCGGGCCTTCCGTGGGCCGCCTGCAGCCTGGGCTCGCGCAGGGGCAGCTGCTGGGCCAGCTGGACTACGATTAGGGTCGACAAAAATCAGAGGGAGTTTAATCACCTTGAAAAACAAAAACAAAACACACCCCCCAGTGATTAACAGTCTGGCGAGGGGAAGGGAGAAGGCAGTGGGGGAGGGGGGCGGGGGGAAGAGGTTCTCTAAGGCGAGGGGTTCTCCACTGCCCAGGTACCCCAGGTCAGGCCCCTCTAGCACCCAGCACAGCACCTCGAGGGCCAAGAGCCCCCGGTCAGCGGTGCTAGCTCCACCGTCCGGGGATGGCCCAAGGTCACCCCCCCAAGGGAGCCCAGCTCACTGTCTTTCCTCTGCTGGCCTGGTGTCCCAGACACACACCCCAGTGTGGGTGCTCAAAGTGGCACCCCACCCCCCACCTGCCTCAGGACTTAAGGTTCCCCCTGGAGTGGCTCCCAATCCAGCTGGTCCACCCAGGAATTCTGTGAGGGTGCCCGGGATGGGGGAAGCAGAGACCAGAGATGCGGGCGCTGGCCACCACCAGCACGGCTCTTGTCGGGGTGCCTGTGTGACCAGCACACAGCCCAGCCAAGAGCACCTCCCTCTAGGCCGTGGGCTCTTCCCCGCGAGCAGCACCCGTGCGGCCCTCTGGGAAAGGGGCAGGGCTGTGCAGCCTATGTTCGAGCCGTAGGTCCAATTAAACACAGTTTAAGCTGGTCCGACAAACACAGTTCTGTGGCTCGGACTGCACACAGAGGCGGGGACAGGAGGCACCTGGGCCGTCAGGGGCCCGAGCGGAGGTCTGGCGGCCAGCTTCTAGGCAGGGGCGACCCCACCTTGCCTGGGCATGACTTGCTGCCCCGAGGCACCATGGCAGAGGGCGAGCAGCAGAACCCAGACACCGAGGACTCGTCGAGTGGGGCCTGCAGCACCCATGCAGGCCAGCCTCTCCCACAGCACCTGACCATCTCACCGGCCGGACTCTGGCCCGGTGCAGGGTGCCAGCGAGGCACAGGGACAAACTAGGTGGCCAGGGGCCCGCCGGGCACCAGGGACTCGCTGCCCTGCTAAGCCGCCTCCCCCGCGGCTGCTCGGAGCTGCCACTCGCATAGCCTTCCTTCCCACATGCTGAAACAGAGAAGGATGCAGAGTGGGAGAGGGGATCTATATATATGTGAGAAGACAGGGGAACAGATTGTCGGGGACGGAGAGAGGCAAAGAACCCACTGAGGCAAACAATAGCGTCTGGGATGTTAAAAGCAGCTCAGCAGCTAAAGCCGCCCCCAGCCTGTTCCCTGCCCACGGCTGCCCACGGCCTCTGGGCTGTGGGGGAGCAGAGCACAAGGGACCCCCCGAGGCTGGGCCCTGCATGTGCAGAGGTGGGCCACGCTGCCCAGGGGCGGGGGACCCTCTCTCTGCCAGAACCTCACTGGCGAGCAGGTCGCCATGTGCCTCACTCTCCACCTGTTGGAAGGCACCCGGGAATCCTGGCCTGGCCTTCTCCCAAGGGCCGCTAGCGGACTAGCACATGGGGCCAAAGGCCGCCTCCTGGGGAGGAAATGGCAGTGTCTCCCTGGGGGTGCCGGGTAGGAAGGACCGGACAGGACACAGGGATGCCCAGAGAAGGCCTGACACCAGCACAGCCTCCCCGCCCCCCCGCCTGTGGGGAAGTAGAGCCTCCGGAAGCTCAGCCGGGGATCCAAGGATCAGCTCTCTCGAAGAGCTCCGCAGGGCTGACCCCGCACCAGGCCCCTCCCCCTGGGGTCGTGAGGTGCGGAGGAGGGGAAGGCTTGGGTCGGCCTGGAGCTCCAAGGAGCAAGCAAAAGAGGCCTCACTCACTGGAGCACTTTCTCTAGAGGGACAGGGTGCGTGTCTCCTGGGCCACCCCACACCCGCCCTGAGAGCAACAGAGGGGCCCCCATCCCCATGGTGAGGAGACCGGGGCCCGAAAGGCTTCCCTCTGCCTCTGCCTCCACCGTGGTTGGCATCCATCCCTCCCCAACTGGCGGGCTAACAATAAAAACAGTCCAACTTGTCAATCGAGAGCTTGATAAGCACATAATGAAGACAATCACGGTGATTAGTGGGCTGGGGACGCGGAGCCCAACTCCCCTGTTGGGAATCGAGGATTGTGCCGCTTCCTGGGGGGGGGGGGGGAGCACAAACTGGTGACTTTTCTCCCCTTTCTTTTTTAATAAGGACTCGAGAATCTTTAGGACTAACGTACCAATTAGATGGTTCAGTTTAAGCATGATGTTCATTTTAATTGTGTTACTCCGCCCCCGCAGAGTAGGGTGAGGCAGCCCCTTCCCTCCCAGCTGTTTAGCTCCTCCACACCCGGGCGGCCCGAGGCCCTGAGAGCCCGGCTCGCCTGGACCCCATGGGCTGGCTCCAGTGGAAGGGGTCGAGCCAGTGGCCTGGCCACACCCGCGTCCAACATCCCCGTTCTCTCACTGCCGTCAGCCTGGGGGGTGGGCGGGGGGCTCCTTCCTCTTTCCTGCCTCCTTAAAATGGGGCCAGAAGAACGGGTGGCCCTCGGGGCTGTGGTGGGGATGAGAGGAATGGGGGTGGGGGGCTGCCCCCCGTGCTATGGGGAGAGGCGGCTGGAATGAGGGGGAGACAGGGAGATCGCTGGTCTGGAACCTGTAGAATTCCAGCATCCATCTCTGAGGGGCCTGGAAGGAGCTTCCAGAAGCCGGGGGGCAAGATGAAGAAGGGCAGTGCTCTCTGGTGGACAGGTAGCAGTGTAGCAGCCCTGGGTGCCCAGAAGCGCCCCAACCCTCCACATGGGCCCTTCCCTGACATCACAGCGGCCCGTGAAGCTTGGATAAGTCACAGCAGCTCACGGGGCTGGGGCTCCCCGGGGGGATGGCTGACATGGGGGGCCCTGAGAGCTCCTCAGCGGGGAGAGTGGGAACTGGCCGCGCTCTGGGCCACGGTGTAGGCGAGAGCAAACAGAAGCGGGGCAGTGCTGTCCCTCGCGAAGGCCCCTCGCTGACCTGCGAGGCCCTCGGCCAGAAGGCCCGGCCTACCTCAGTGCTCTCCGGGGACTCCTCGGGCTTCTTCTGGGGCGTGGCGGCCAGGGCCTTCCTTCCGGGGGGTTTGGAGTTGCTCTCCTTCTGAGGGGAAAAGCGGGTGGTGGGGCGAAGTTAGCTGAGGGCAGACGCCCGCTGCCGGCACAGCTGGGGGTGCCCTGCCGACACGCACGGAGACGGCCCGTTCCCTGTGCAGGAACCAGGTACCCAGCGTGTCTCCTCCTCTCAGAGCTGACCCTCAGCTGCAAAGGAGGGGACTACATCCTGGGGGCTCGGGCTCAGCACTGGGGTGATAGGACAGCAACGCAGGACAACGCGTCACTGCTGGTGCTGACACGGAAAAGCAGGCGGCAGCTGCTTCCCTAGCAGGAATGAAGGTGCGGTGGGAGCCACGTGGGGGACAGAGAACTGGCCGTCACCCTCAGTCTATCAGCAGGACAGATCACTGGGCTGCTGAGGCCAGGCTGAGGATCAGGCTTCCTGGTTTACTTGGGAAGAAATCAGAAAAGAGGCTGGAGCGTTAGGGCTAAGGCACTTCTCGCTACACATGACCCCATTTGATCCCCGGCACCGTGCAAGAACTCCTGAGCCCTGGGCGCTGCTGGGGGTCTCTTTTTCTCCCCAAAAGGGAAATTAGGAGATGAAAGAGGGTAGGAGGTTAGTCTGGCCTGAAGGCTCCTCCTGCAGGACACCCAAGAAGAGGCCACCTGGAGGGACGTGTTCACAAGATCACAGCCGGCTGCTCTCCAGAAGGGCAGGGGCTTGCCCAAGCTGCCACTCCCAAAAGGTGGCTTCTGAGAGCCAGGCTCAACGGTATGTGCTCTGCCGGAGCCAGGCCTGTGAGCACTGCCACCCCGACTTCCACAGGAGCAGCGAGCCAGCACGCCCAGTGCCACCCTGAGCTGGTGGGCTCTCCCTGCAGGGAGGGGCAGAGCTGCTGACCACAGACCCTAGCTGGGGCGGGGAGGAGACACCCCGAAGGCCATACCTCCGAGGACTGTCACCTCTGGATCTTCTGACCCCGCTTGCCTCTCCCAAGCTGTGGGACAGCAGCAGGTGGGCCTGACCCTTCTCGTCCTTCCCTGCCCCTGCCCGACCCCCGGCAGTGCCCTGGGAGGCTCACCTGCGTGGTGCTCCCTGGGGCCGGCGCGTCCTCCTCACTGTCCGATTCTGTGCTACTGCTGCTGCTGCTGCACTCGGCATTCTCTGGGCGCCTCCCCGCAGAGGGGGTTGTGGGGAGTGGCTTCCCCGTGGGGGCGGGGCCGGCCCCTTTCCTGGGAGACCCCTTGGCGGGGCCGGGGGCAGCTCGAACCTGGGCATTCAGCTCTGGGGGCTTGGCCTAGGGAGACACAAAGACCCTCAGGGCAAGCAAGGGGCACGGAGGACAAGCACAGGGGCTGCCTCGGCCCCGGGCCTCACCTGAGCAGGTGGTGGCCCCTCGCTGCTGTCCGAGTCCTCCTCACTGCTGTCTGAGTCCTCCTCGGCCGCAGCGGGTGCTGACGACCGGGCCTGTGCTGCCGCGGCCGCCCCCTTGCCCGCAGCTGGGGTTCTGGCGGGGGGTTTGGCCTGCGAGGCAAGGAGGGAGGTGAAGCACACGGCAGCCGCTCCTGCCCTGCCCAGGTTGGGGGGCACGGTGGGGCGCTTCCTCCCAGCCCAGCCCATAGCTTCCGTTCCACTTGCCTTAGCCGGGGACCCCTGCTTGGCTGCAGCAGCTGCAGGGACCACTTTTCCGGAAGCGGCTGCCCCTTTAGGCAACGCTGCTCTGGGAGAAGCCGGGGTTGGGGTGGGTTTTGTCTGCAGGGTCTTGGCTGGCGTCTGGAGAGGAAAGGGGGGCAAGGATGGGAGGGGTGAGAGGGACGCAGCTGAGCAGCTCTGAGAGAGAGCAGGTCCAAGTCAGACCCCCTCCACTCACTCCCCGGGCTGGGGAAGGAGAGGTCCAGGCAGAGGGGTCCTGTGAAGAGGAAACGGGGACCGAGTGTTCCCTCTAACACAGCCCGGGACAAACAAGCACAGAGATGTACTTATGCCTGTCAACCAGGTGGCTGTACGGTCACATTTCATCTAATCATCCTAAGTGGACGTTGGACATTCTGACACATGAAACACGTGCTCACTGGAAGGCTGAGGTGACAGCTAGAGCTCAAGCAGCCATCTTGGGTTATAAGAGAGGTTCTGAGACTTTTTCCAGTTGGAGGCCTTCTTCACTTCACCTAACCTGAACGGGCACACAGGAATTCACAAAATGACTTGCAAAGCCTTGAAGCACATACTGACTAAGAAGGGTGAAGCAAGAGAGAGACAGGAGGAGCACGGAGGCAAGGCTGCCATTGAAGCCAAACAGCATAGAGCAGCATCTGCAGGCTCCTGACACGTCACCCAGGCTCAACACGTGGGATCAAGGACAATCAAGAGTTAGGAGACAGGGGTTAGAGCGATAGCACAGCAGGTGGGGCATTTGCCTTATACGCGGCCAACCTGGGTTCGATTCCCAGCACCGCCAGGAGTAATTCCTGAGTGCAGAGCCCGGAGTAACCCCTGTGCATCGCCAGGTGTGACTCGGAAAGAAAAAAAAAAAAGAGGAGACAGACACATACTGCACCAAAGGCCAGGGTGCTTAGAGCACAGCACCCAAATCATCCACAGTTAATCTTCTCATACACTAAACAAACTAGGGGCCAGAAAGAGAGAACAGAGGGGGAGTGCCCTGCATGTAGCTGAACTGATTTCGATCCCCAGCACGACATCCAGTCCCCCAAGGCCTGCCAGGAGCATGCCCTGACCACTGCAGCGTATTCCCCTCCCCCAAATTCCCCTCCCCCAAAACAGAACACATATAACCGAAAAATACCAAGTCTATGTTGACATAGGAAGTGTCAAAATATCAAAGGTATGAAGCCATACAAATTATGGTTTCCCACCAGAGCACGTCTAAATCAGGAACCAACGACAGAAACAAAAATCAGTGATCTTCGATCACTGGTCTGCAGGTGTAGAAATGCTGAGAACCGATGCTTGATGACTACAGAGGCAGGACAGGAGGAAGGGTGCTTGCCTTGCACGTGACTGACCGGATTCAGCCCCTGGGCCCAGCCAGGAGTGGTCCCTGGCCACAGAGCCAAGGATAAGCTCTGAGGTGTGCTGGGTCTGGCTCCCAAACCAAACCCCCCAAAAAACCCACTAGTATAAAAAGGTTGAAAAACGCTGTATCATCTCAAATATTTGGAAATAAACCTGTTTTAAAATATTCCAAGGTTCAACAAAAAACGAAAACAAAATGTTTCAAAATTCATGGGATGAGGTTATTACATGAGGTTCATAAAATACTTTCACTTAGTATTATACGCGTACATTCTGATGCTTAAATAAAAAAAAATTAAAGATTCAAGATTCCTCCTACAGAAACTAAAAAAAGAAGAGCAAATCAAATTCAAAGTAGGGGAAAGAATAATAAAGATCAGAGTGGAAATAAATGAAAGAGAGACAGATGAGAAAAAATATCAATAAAACTGGGAGTTCTTTCTGGGAAAGAGCAATAAAATTTATAAGTCTTTCACTAGACTGGCCAAAAATCAGAGAAGGTACAAACAGGAAAAATTTAAGTAAAATACTACTACAGACCTACAGAAACTGAAAGGACTGTAAGGGGAAAGAGAGAGAATGCCAACAAATGAGATTAAAAAAAATCGGCCAAGATTCTAAGCACAACTGTGATTATACACAGAATTATCAAATGATGCAAAATATAAATGAACTCAAGGGGGGGAAAAAGAAACACCGAAAACCAAACAAACCCTGAATAGCCCTGTATTAAGAAAAGAAATTTAGTACTCAAATATCTTTTTCCACATCAAAAATTTTCAGGTATAGATGTCCACATATGTTGAGTTCCATTAATAAATAATACTGAGTCTGGAGTGACAGATAGTACAGTGGGCAGGGTGCTGGCTTTGCACATGGCCAACCTAGGTTTGATCCCTGGCACCACAAATGGTCCAGCCAGTAGTGATCCCTAAGCAGAGCCAGAGTAAACCCTGAGAACTGCTGGGTTTGGCTCCCAAACAATCAATCAAACGAACAAAAATAACAGCAACACAAGGAAAACTCTTTCAGAAAAAAGAGGAGCAAAAAGAACCAACTCCTCTTATAAAGCTACTGACAGCCTGATACCAAAGTGAAACAAAGACACCAGAGGAAAACTACAGACCAATTCCTCATGGCTAAAGACACACATATCAGATAGCAAACTAAATCCAGCAACAAATAAAAAAGAGTATCCACCACCACTAAGTGGAATTTACTCTAAAAATAAATATATGAACATTAATAGAACAAAGGGGGGGAAAAAAACTGATCAGTTTCACTGAGAAAAAGCATCTTGTAAAAATTCTCGGCAGGAGAGACAGTTACCGGGGTTAATGGTTCTCGTATGCCGGTGGCTGGGTCCAGTTCGTCCCCCGGCACTGCTTGGAAAGTGATCCCGGACCAAGAGCCAGCAGCAGCCTGAGCACAGCTAGATGTGCCCCCACCCAAACCCAAACCCAACCTCTAACTCCTCTTCCTGCTCAGAACTCTCAACACTCTAGAAGGCAGCTCTGTCAACACGGAACACTGGAAGCTGACATCATAATTCACAGCAAAGGACACGCAAAGGACACATGCTTTGCCCCCGAAACACCAGATGCCAGAAACACTACAAGGGTGTGCACTCCCCATCACCACTCAACACTACTGCAAACAGGCAAGAAAACGATGTTACTCTGAATAGAGAGACGAAAATGCTGAGTTTATAGGTAATCTGGTATTCATCTAGAAAATTCTAAGGACTTTACAAAAGCTACTATGACTGATAGGCAGATGTGATAAAAATCACAGGATCAAAGTTCAACATGCAACGAGTGGTCAGATGCAGGAGCTGCCCCATCAGTTTTCCAGTTGTTCAAATACTCAGCACTGCGCATCCTTCCGGCCAAGGGCATTTAAGCAAGCCCTCAATCAGCTGCTTCTGCATCTCTGGCACATGGTCTTCCAGAAACATCGTTGATGCTCTAAGTCTTTGATGCTCTTTAAATTTGTCTCAAGGGGGGCTGGAGCGATAGCAAGCAGGTAGGGTGTTTGCCTTGCATGTGGCCGACCCGGGTTTGATTTCCAGCATCCCAATGGTCCCTTGAGCACTGCAAGGAGTTAATTCCTGAGTGCATAAGCCAGGAGTAACTCCTGTGCATCGCCAGGTGTGACCCAAAAAGAAAAAAAAAAAAAATCTCAAGGGCCATAAGGCAGCACTAGGATTAGGTGGCACTCCAGGATCCCTGAGCACAAAACCATGAGCAAGGCCTCAGCACCACTGGGTGTGGCCCAGAACCCAAACCATAAATAAATAAACAAAGGGCAGGTAGAGATGGCTCAAGATGAAACAGAGAATTTGCATGTCAGGCCTGGTTTTGATTCCCTGTCATCAACCATAGAGTTCAACAGCATGGCCAGAAGTGACCCCTGAGCACTAAGCCAGGAGCAGCCTCACGAGCACTGTGGGATGTGACTCCCCCCTCCCTCCATAATCTTTGCTCTGGACCTCAAATCCCAAACAGATGGTTTGCTTTGAGCTGGGTGGGTGTCCGTGTAGCTAGAGACTCTTGCCAGACTGAGCAGAGTGGTCCCCAGTTTTGAGGACATTCTGATTTTGAGAGTGAGATGACGTGGCACCTCCTCACCTAGTCCCATATCTCAGCAGAGGGATGGGTGTTATCCCATTGCCTCCGATGAAGGCAAGAAGAGCCAGTCACCACATTCCTCTTACCTCCCCTGTCTCGGACTCAGATCCCTCAATTGGGAGACTGTCTCTGGCAGGGCTCTAAGGTCGGCAGGTTCCTACAGAGAAGTGTGGCTTTACTTTTCACGTTGAGAGAAAATATGGACCCAGAGTGCACTGTGGGGGACAGAATACTGTGGGAAAGGGTTATTTTTTGGGTTACAATTGGTTATGGTCAGAGGCTACTCCTGGTTCTGCACTCAGCAGTTACTCCCGGCAGTGCTCTGGAAACCGCATGGGATGCCGAGGCTCAAATGGGTCAGCTGCATGCAAGGCAAGTGCCTTACCTGCTGTGCTACCTCTCTGGCCCTGTCTGGCTGAGCTACGATTCACCAAACAGCTCCTGGAAGGTGCAGCCTCGCCTCCCAGGAGGCATATGAGCACTCACTCAGCACACAGTGCCGGGAGGCTCAGGCGCAGTGCGGAGGGATAGGTGCGGCTTGCGAGGAGCCCATTCCAGAATGAGACCAAACCTACTGCCAGAATCACAGATAACAAGAAGGAAGGAAATCTGCAGGAAGGGGTGCTGGGGCGAGGGCATCTGTGCAGCACACAGCTGACACAGGGTCAATCCCCGGTACCCCGTATAGCCACTGAGCCCGTCTGCGAGTGATCCCAGAGCACAGAGCCAGGAGTGATCCCTGGGAACCACAGGCTGTGGCCCCCAAACAAAACATGAAAAGAAACGTGAGCATTGAGACGGGGGAAAGAAATGACTAATCTCTGGGTGGTTATTGAAAAAAAAAACAATTAAAAATAATAAACAGTGGGTGGGTGAAGAGCAGGGGGCAGCTTCCCTCGGGCGGGAGAGGACTGGTTCTCAGCAGGGAGAGGGTGAAGAGCTCGCTGAGCGGCAGGTGAGACCTTCGGGAGGATTCCAGCTCACAGACAAGCGCACAGGCCTCTGGACTCAGCACTTTTGTTTCTGGGCCACACTCAGCGTGCTCAGGCCTTACTCCTGGCTCTGTGCTCTGGGATCAGTCTTTGGTGGGCTTGGAGGAGCACATGGGGAAGTCGGGTGGAATCAGGCAGCTGTATGCTGGGCGAGCGCTCTCTCCGGCACCTGGCCTCTGTCACTTGTAAGAATGCCCCAATATATGGACTGAACATGATTGCCACTCAATGCCTCTTTTGCAAACCACAGCACCCAGAAGGAGAGAGAGAACAAAAGGGAATGCCCTGCCACAGAGGCAGGGTGGGACGGCGGGGATGGGGTGTGGGAGGGATACTGGGATCCATGGTGGTGGAAAATGGGTACTGGTGGAGGGATGGGTACTTGATCATTGTATAATCAAAACCCAAGCACAAAAATTTGTAAATCTACAACTGTACCTCATGGTGTTTCACTAATAAAAATAAAATAAAAAAAAGAATGCCCCAATGATCCTGCCAGAGTGCACCCCACCTGAGCCAGACCCGTACCACCCCTCAGCCTGCCGTAGGCCGCTCCTCTACCTGCAAATCTTTGCTAAATCCACCGCTTCCTCCCTCTCCGGACACTCTTCAGACCTTCTACGGCCTGCAGCCACCCTGCAGAGGCCCTCGAGAACACCCCCGGAATCAGGAAGAGCAGAGTTCCTGGACCACACAGGTCACCTCAGAATGCCACCGAGAATGTGCCAGGAAGAGCCTGAGTGTGGAGGGGGGCTGAGCAGAGCCGCCCCGAAGACTTTTGTGTGTGTATCCACCCCCCTCCCCAGCCTCAGTGTGGCGCAGGGGGCAGGTGCCCTCACCTGGGCTGGCATCCTGACTGCCTCGTCGCTGTCTGAGTCCTCGCTGCTCGTCGAGTCTTCGGGCACCTGCATTTTGGTTGGGGCTGCCGCAGGCCCGGCCTTCTGAGGAAGCGTGGAGGTGGTGCCCTGGCCCGGGGGCGCCTTGGTGGGCGTCAAGGCGGCTTTGCCGGGGAGGCTCTTCCTCAGAGCTTGTGCCTGGAAAGGCCGGGAGAGACACATGTCTGCGGCGAGAGCCCAGGGAGGCCCAGCCCAGACCCCAAGAGCCCTTCCTTGGTCTCACCTGGCCCACGGCCACAGCCATCTCCTCTTCGCTCTCGGACTCCTCACTGCTTGAAGAGTCCTCTGGCTTCTGGGGGCCCCTGGCCAGAGCAGGGGAGGCCGATGTGCCTGCTCGCGCAGTGCTGCCCTTGGCGGGTGCAGGGGTCGCGGGGGTGCCCTTCCTCGGAGACACCTGGGTCAGAGGTGTCTTCAGGGCTGCTTTTACCTGAAGGGGACACGGCCAGAAGCTGGAGGAGGATCCTGGGAGTGGCACCCCACTGTTCCTCAGAGGAGCCCCCCGCCACCCTTGGGTCAGGCACAAGGCCTCGCCCGGGCTGGCATCAGGGCAGCAGTAGCCCTCCCAGTGTCTGACGGGGCTTCCTGGCCCTGCCTTCTGGGAAGGCCCCTTGGTGGGGTGTGGGGCCAATCGGACCCAAGGGATTGTCACCAAGGACTTGTCCTATGTCAGGACACAGGAGGGTCAGGGCAGAGCCCCTGAACGCCCCGGCACAGAGAGGCTCACAGGTCAGGGTCTCACTTGGGCTGGGGGTCCGGGGGTGGGCACCTCCTCGTCGCTATCTGTCTCATCGCTGCTGCTGCTGCTGCTTTCGGAGACGTCCTGGCGTGTAGCGGCCGGGGCTGCCGAGGTGGAGGGGGCAGCTCCCTTCCCTGGGGGCCCCATGCTGGGGCCCCGTGCTGAGGTTGCTTTGCTCTGGGGACTTTTCCCCAAGGACTTGGCCTGGGAGGGAAGAAGGAGTCTGTGCATGGGGACAGCGGGAGCAGGCCCAGGGCTGCCACGCCTACACCCCCAGCACCTCACCTGAGTCGGGGCTGCTCTGACTGCAGCTGGCCTGGGGGGCGGTTCATCCCCGCTGCTGTCCTCCTCCTCCTCCTCTTCCTCCTCCTCCCGGGACTGGCTGGCTGCAGGCCCTGCCCTGTTGGTGGGTGCAGGAAGGGTCCCTTTCCGAGGAGATGGCTTGGTGAGGGCTGAGACAGCTCTGACCTGGGTGGGCTTCCCTGAGGGCTTTGCCTGGAATGAGAGAAGCAGTCACGGAGGGAACCCTGGGGGTGGCAGCAAGGGGCCCTGTGGGGGTGGGGGAGCCCCAGGCACGGCTGCGAGGGGCTCCGTGCGGTTGGGGGGAGCCCCAGGCACAACTGTGAGGGGCCCGCCCTGCTGGGGCAGCGGGGCTCACCTGAACTGGGGTCGTGCTGGCCGGAGCCCCCTCTTCGCTGTCTGACTCCTCACTGCTGCTGCTCTCCGAGTCCTCCTCTGGCTTCCCGGGCAGGGTCCTGGGGGTGGCTGATACGGGCTTCCCAGGGGTTGCTGACGCGACTCCTTTTCCTGGCATCCCCTTGGCAGGCATCACTCCCAGGGCGCCTCGGGCCTGGCCAGGTTTCTCCAAGGGCTGTCCGCCCTTCTCCTGGGAAGGCAGCAGGGGTGTGTTCCTTCCCCACCCTCCGTGGAAGCCTTCAGGACAGGGTCCAGGGCTGTTTTGGGCGCCAAGACCCCCTGCTCATCTCATTCCCACTCTCAGGCCCCATCTGGGGCCAGCACTGCTTGCCCAACCCTCTGGTTGTCACCCATCATCTCACACTCTGCCCCCGCCCCCACCCTTGCTCCTGGCCTCCCTCTCAGGAGGGCTGGGGGGGGGGGGGGAGCAGCCTGTCCCCTGCCGAGTACCCTGCAGCTCAGGGCTGCCCCAAAGCATGGAAGAACCGCAGGAGCAGAATGTGGCCGTCCCAAACGGGGGGACAGAGTGAGGACTGGTGAGCTTCGTGCACTGGCGCCGCAGGAAGACAGCCAGCACGGCTGCCCGGCCAGACACAAGGTGTCCATGGGCCTGACCCCCCTCACCCATCCACTGAAGGCACCCCTGGCTGGGCGCTGACACCCCCAGCCTGCCACCATGATTCCAACCTTGAACCAACAAGTAGGACGAAGTACGCCACCGACGCCCCATCCGGGCCCCTAACGACGGCTGCTACACGACAGACATTGGGGGAGCAGCCACTGAGGACACTGTGACACCTGCCTCTGCCTCACTCTTGGAAGGGGACCATGACATGGGGCCCTTCCCACCATCCCCCTCCTGCCCTGGGTCTGCATTTCCCTGTCTCTCCTGGACGGCCCCTCAGCACAGCAAGCTGACACTCTCCCCACCTTATTGGCTCTGACATGATCAACTGCCCGAGTGAGACCCTGCCCACCTGCCCTGCCATCAACTTGTCTTTATTTTTTTTTTCTTTCTTTCTGGGTTACACCCAGCGATACACAGGGGTTACTCCTGGCAATGCTCGGAGTAACCCCATATGGGATGCTGGGATTTGAACCTGGGTCGGCTGCAAGGCAAACGCCCTACCCGCTGTGTTACTGCTCCAGTCCCGCCATCAGCCTGTCTTACGCTCTTCTGCTCTGCCCTTCCTTGGGCTGCAGGCCTGGGCAACAGGTCTCAGCCAGTGGGAGGGAAGCAGACTCCTGTCTTTAAGCAAGCTGACATCTGGCAGAGGACCAGGCAGCTGAAGCCCCGTCTCTCCCTGGGGCCAGAGCAGCGCTACCAGCTCGGGCAGAGGCTGGGGCTGGGGCGCAGGCCTCTGCCAGGGGCACCCGCGGAACAGCTGTTCAGAGAGCAGCGTCAGCAATGATCCAGCCCAGGGCCTTGCATGGCCTCCTACGGGGCTTCCTGCATGGGTTTTAGGGTGTCTTTACACAGGGTCTCCAAGCATTCTTTCTGGGGGGAGCCTCTGGGCCTCACCTGGCTGGGAGCTGCCACAGGGGCCCCCTCCTCCTCACTCTCAGACCCCTCGGTGCTCTCAGAGTCCACTTCTTGCTTCACGGCCCTGTTGACCCCGGTCAGCTTGGCCGGGGGTGTCACAGCTGTCTTCCCAGGGGCAGGGGTGGCCTTTTTCCCTGGAGACTCCTTGACAGGTGCTGGGCAAGCTCTGACCTGGGGAGCCTTCACTGAGGGTTTCACCTGGGGCAAGAAACAGGAATCAGGGAAGGAGCGAGTCCTACCCCGGAGGGCCCAGGGGCCCAAGGCTTCTGCAAGCTGTCTCGGTATCACCATTCTGACCCCCAAGCAGACACTGCCCTCATACCCTTTCCCAGCTGGGAAAGGATTCCACCCCCAGCACCTGCGAGGGTCCCAAGCGCCTGCCAGGAGAGATCCCCAGCACTATGGGATGAGGCTCCCAAATCAAAACCACCCAAAAGGATAGACACTCAGAGAGGCCAATGCTAAGACTTCCAAGCCCAGACAGGAAGCTGAGAGAGGCCTCACAGGCAGCGCTTAGCATCTGTGCCCACACAGGGCGGCCGCTCTCAATCACTGTAGGGACTTTCCTCCCAGGCCTGGGACGACAACTGGGAAGGGTTTAAGGTCAGCACTGCTTGGGGCCTCCACTGTTGTCTCAACCTCCCGTGATTCTCTGGGATCTGGGTCTGCTACCAGCCAGGATGAATTATGCCCCCTTGCTGGGATCCGGGAGCCCAGGGACCTGAAGCTGCATGTGTCCATGGCCAGCAGGTCGGTGTGAGAGATCTTGGCCTTCGCTGGCCAAGCTTGTGAGTGTCTTGGGCCCTGAGCTTCAGGTCTCAAGACATGCCCTCCCTGGAGAACTTGGTCGTCTGAGCACCACCCTCCTGAGTTCCCTTCTGCCCATGCCAGCCATGCTGCCCAAAAGGCTCTGATACCCCCTTCCGAGTAACCAGAGCCTCGAGCACAACTGAGGGTCTTCTCCACTTGGGCTCCTGCACCAGCACAGCCGAGGATCAAGGCCACAGACTAACAGTCCGGAGGGTGTGTGAGGAAGTGCCAGGGTCTGGCTGTCACCAGTGAGCCTGGGACCTTAACCTCACCCCTCCCTTCAACCACCACCAAACACATCTTGGCCTTTGCTTAGGCAGTTGGTGTGTGTGTGTGTGTATGTGTGTGTGTGTGTGTGTGTGTGTGTGTGTGTAGGAAGGGGGTGGGGGTCACACCTGGTGATGTTCAGGGGTTACTCCTGCTTCTGCACTCAGAATTACCCCTGCTAATGTGTTTGATCATTGTACGACTGAAAGTCAATCATGAAAGCTCTGTGACTGTACTTTAGTGATTCAATAAAAAAATTTAAAAATAAATTACTCCTGGTGGTGCTCGGGAGACCGTGCAGATTGCCGGGGATCAAACTCGGGTTGGTCACATGCATGGCAAATGCCCTACCCGCTGTACAATCACTCTGGTTCTCATGCATCTCTTCTGCCTGAATACCAGGTCCGCACCTGCCTCCCTGTGAACCCCCATGTGACAATGTCCAGCTCCAGTGCCACCTCTCCCGGGAAGCCTTCCCTGCCTCACAGACAGGGCAGTGACTCGCACAGCACAAGAGCCTGCAGGCGAGTGAACGCAGGGAGCACAGTTCCCGGGCCCGGGCCAGTACCTCCACGTCTGTCTCGTCACTGGAACTGGAAGTGTCGTCACTGGAGCTGCTGGCTTGGCCTGCTGATGTCACTCCTGGGGGGGAGGGGGGGGGTGAGAACACTGAGGGCCACCCTTGGCACCCACCCAAGTTCCAACCAGACCCGATGCTGAGTTTCAGCTCCACCTATATAAGAGCCCCCCGCGGGACCTGCACGTTCCCTGAGAGGGTCACAGGAACTTCCCACACTCACAGAACCGCACCTCGGGCTAAGGAAACTGTCCCATGGAGCCATGCAGGGCCCACAGGAGAGACTGAGGGGGCCCTGGACCTTGGCTCAGCGTCCAGCTCTCTGAGGTAAGCAGCAGGAAAGCACCAGAAAGCAGCGGCCAGGGAATGCCCAGATGTCGCCCACCAGGCTCCTGACAAAGACCACTGGGTTCCTGTGCCCAGCCTGAGCAGGGCCCTCGATGGCACGGGGATGACCTTCTGGGTTCCAGAATGTCTTCGAGCTTTCCAAAGCAGCGGCCAAGCCCCTCTCAGCCTGAAGGGGACTCCTTACCGGGCGGGCCAGGGGTGCCAGCGGCTCGCACGCTGCCCTCCTCCTCAGTTTCTGAGACCAAGACGGTGTCCGCTGAGGGGCCTGATGACTTCCTGGGGGACTTCCCGGAGAGGAGCTGAGCCACCGTCTTCCCTGGTGTGGGAAGGGCCGTGGAGTTCCCCATCTTGCTGGCTTTGGGCTTTGCCTGGGAGGGCGGCAGCGGCGGGGACAGGAACCCAGTCCAAACAAGGCCAGACCACAGCACACCCCAACCCCACCACTTCCCCCCGAAGGTGAATCTGGGCACATCACTGTCCTAAATCTGTTTCTTCCTTTGGAAAGTGGGGCAAAAAAAAAAAAAAAAAAAACACCAAATGGTGCCTCCCTCCCAATTACAAGGCTTGGATGTAATCGTTAATCAGTAGATGTTAAGCAGCAATCTGCTGTGGATATTATCGTCCATCATAACGACTGTCCACGTTCTTGCTGATGCCCAGACAGTGGCAAGGACACGCTCCTTTCTTTACAATGACCACAAAGTCATTCCCCGCTTTTTTTTCCCTGCTTTTTGGGTCACACCCAGTGATGCTCAGGGGTTACTCCTGGTTCTGTACTCAGGAATTACTCCTGGCGGTGCTTGGGGGACCATATGGGATGCCAGGGATTGAACTCGAGTTAGCCTCGTGTAAGGCAAATGCCCTCCCTACTGTACTATCATTCTAGCGCCATTTCCCACTTTTTAAATATTTTGCAGTCTTTTTTTTTTTTGGCTTTTTGGGTCACACCCAGCGCTGCACAGGGATTCCTCCTGGCTTTGCACTCAGGAATTACTCCTGGTGGTGCTCGGGGTACCATATGGGATGCATGCTGGGAATCGAACCTGGGTTGGCCGCGTGCAAGGCAAATGCCCTACCCGCTGTACTACCGCTCCAGCCCCAATACTGTGCAGTCTTGAGATGCTTAAGAGCTTCCAAAACCACAGGGGTCTTACTCCCTACTCTTTTGACTTGAATGTTCTGACTTGTTGAATGAACAGGCAAATGTGGGAACAAAGGAGGAAACAGCCTATTCCAGCGGGTCTCAGGCCCCTCATCTAGAGCACACAGCTGGCAACGTCAGCTGGGATTCGATTCCTAGCTGGACAATGTCCTCTGACAGAGGGCACGATCCCTGACAGCCCAGCCACTTATTCTGCGGGTGGGCACTGTGAAAAATACCAAAAATCATTTTAAAGTGAATTTATGATTCACATACCAATTTACACCCCTAGACAGCCAGAGTCACAAAAATTTCCTTGGGGAAAATGTGTGGGAAAAGTTTAAGCAGCCCGGCCCTTGGGATACTGCGGGCGGCCGCTTGGAAGGCTTCATCCTACTCACTGGGGTCTTTTCCTTTAAGTCTGTAGACAGAACTGTCCGCACAGCTGAGGAGTTGGTCAATGATAATCTTGGGGCTGCAAGACACAAAACACAATGGCTGAGCCAGGTGAGCTTCTCCTCCCGATGGCCAACAAACAGGTTTCAGCTCACCTGTCAGTTTCCCTGGGGCAGATGTCTTCGTGGCATGACACTTAGATCAAAGGCTGAGCTGCAAGCCAGACCCGGCAGGAGCAAGACAGTCTGCATCCCGCTGGATCCCAACTCCTGCAGGCACGGTACACCAAGGCCCCCACAGAAAAGGGGCTTGCTTTGCACACAGTGCTGCCACATACTGCCACAATCACTGCACAACTCCAGGGGGCGCAGTTTGCACAGGCTACTGCACTCAGCCCACCCATGCAGACCCTGGGCACTGCCCAGTGGCCAAGCAGCCTGCTAGAGGTCCTGAGGCGGCTCCTCAGAACTGTGGTGGCTTCTCAGAGGAGAGGCAGCTGACGGTAGGCCACCTGGACGCAGTCAGACGCTATGATACACAGACTCATGGGGCTGTAACCCTTGAGAGCTTATAGGAACAATTCCTAAGGTATGCTGTTAAATAAAGAGAGGGTTGCCAGGATGAATGGCATGATCTAATTCTTCTGGCATTTAACTCCATCTCTTTTTATAACATTATGCAAAGCACTGAATACATTCACACAGACAGAGGAAGTACACTGAACCCCGGCTCTACCCATCATCAATCCGATTTCAACGGTCCCCTCATCAACCTTCCCACGGAGCATTATTCTGCAGACATGCTAAATATTGGGTGATGTTGCACACAAATATTTCAGCTTGTTTCTCGGTGAGGATGATTTCAAGAGTAATCACAATTCCATGATCATATCTTTAAACATTCATTAACATCAAGGAGCCAATCAGTAAGCAGTTTTGCAATTTGTGGAGATTTTTTGGGGTTTACTTGGTTTTGGTTTTTTGCACCAATACCTTGATGCTGGCTGGGGTCAGCAGGACACAAGGAAGCACTTTAATCTCCTTTTGTACTACCTCTCCAACCCAGCAATATTTTGGGGGGGTTGGGGTGCTGCTTGGAGCTTACTCCCCAATCTGTGCTCAGGGATCACTCTTGGCTGGTCACAGGAGGCCATATGTGGTGCTGCGGATCAAACCCAGGTCAGCAGCAAGTGTGCTACCCACTGTACTCCAATTGCTCCAGCCCGACAATTGGTGTTTTAAATAGTATACAGGCATCTGGGTAACAGAGATGAAAAGGAGGAGTATAAAGGCCACCCAGCAGGAGATGCCCTTTGAGGTAAGAAGGCAGGGCAGGAGACTCTGAAACCTCCCACTTTCCCTCTCTATACTTTCCCACGGTTAAAAGTGACATGTTTTGGAGCTGGAGGGATAGTACTATGGGTAAGGTGCTTGCCTTGCATGTGGCCAACCTGAGTTCAATCCCCAGCATCCCATCTGGTCCCCTGAGCACTGCCAGGAGTGATTCCTGAGTACAGAGCTAGGAATAACAACCGACAATCACAAGGTATGGCCCCAAACCAAAATAAATAAGTAAATAAATAAACAAACACCTTTTGCCTTTATACTTTATTTCTGAGTCTTTGAGACACAGCTAGGAGTGCTCAGGGCCTATTCCTGTCTTTGTGCTCAGGGGGAGCATATGTAGGATTGAATCAGGCAGGGGCCTTACTTCCTGTGCTACCTCTCTGGCCTGCCTTTGTAATTTTAAAAGATCAAGCACGTTGTAAAATATATTCAGTATTGATCTCAAACATTTATCTTCTGAAAACTTGTTTAAAAAAATCAATGAAAGTGTAATTTGCTAAATTTTATGTGACAGGGGCCTGAGGACAGTACAGCAGGCGGGGCATTTACCTTGCACCCGGCTGACCTGGGCTTGATCCCTGACATCCCATATGGTCCTCTGAGCACCAAGAGTGCAGAGTCAGTAGTAACCCTGAGCACCGCCAGGTGTGACCCAAACAACAAAATGTTTTAATCTTACATAATGAATACTCTAAATAAATCATATATATTACAGAGATTTGCTTTGCTTATGGGCCACAGCGGGCTGGAGCGATAGCACAGTGGTAGGGCATTTGCCTTGCGTGCAGCCAGTCTGGCCGAGCCGGGTTCGATTCCTCTGCCCCTCTCGGAGAGCCCGGCAAGCTACCAATAGTACCTTACCTGCATGGCAAAGCCTGGCAAGCTACCAGTGATGTATTCAATATGCCAAACACAGTAACAAGAAGTCTCACGACGGAGACGTTACTGGGTGGGCCTGCTCTAGCAAATCAATGAATAACAGGAGGACCCCAACTGTGACATGGGCCACAGCAAGTAGTAATACCCTATAATAAGTCATGTACATGTGAATTTGTTTTGCTTATGGGTTATATGTAGTAATAATACTCCATAATGAATCCTATACATATGTGTTTAATTATATAATATATATATTTGCTCTGCTTCTGGACCACGCCAAGTGCTACTATGATGAGTGATGCTGGGGATGAAAATCTGGGCCTCTGCATGCTCTTCTAGTCCTCTGACCAGGCTCCCTGGCTCTGAATCTTGTATTTCTTCTGTTGTTTTTTTTTTGTTTGTTTGTTATTCTGGCGCCACACCTGGTGGTGCTCACTCCTGGCTCTGTACTCAGGGATCACTCCTGGTAACGCTCAGGGGCTATATGGGGTATCAGGCATTGAGCCTGGGATGCTAACAAGCAAGGCAAACGAATCCTGTATGTTATAATCAAAAGTCACGGTCACGGTCACGGTCCTCCTGTTGTTCATCCATTTGCTCGAGCGGGCCCAATAACATCTCCACTGGAGACTTTGTTGTTACTGTGTTTGGCATATTGAATACGTCACGGGGAGCTTGCCAGACTCTGCCGTGCGGGCGAGATACTGTCGGTAGCTTGCCGGGCTCTCCGAGAGTATACTTAAAAATTAAAAACTTTGGGTGGGAGCGGAGGAATCGAACCCGGCTTGGCCGGGCTGGCTGCGTGCAGGGCAAATGCCCTACTGCTGTGCTATCACTCCAGCCCGGCAAGCTACCGAGAGTATCTCGCCCACACAGCAAAGCCTGGCAAGCTACCCGTGACATATTCAATCTGCCGAACACAGCACAACAAGTCTCAAAATAGAGACGTTACTGGGCCCGCTCGAGCAAATGGATGAACAACGGGAGGACGGTGTTTTTTGTTTGTTTGGGTGGGAGAGACAGTACTGCTATACACAGTCAACTCTTGTTCTATTCCTAGCACTATGTTTCCCTGAGGCCCACCAGGACTGATCCTTGAACACAGATCCACAGTAGGCTTTGAGCACTGCCAGGTGTGGCTCAAATACCAAAACCCAATACTAATGACCTCCTCTGAGTGCCTGCCTAGCTCGTACTCTGGCATCATCACAGACCAGCACTGTCTAAACTGACACACAGCTGTCTGCCACAACTCCCCTCTCTGGCCACTTTGGGAATGCGGATTCCTGCCCATCTTCATCAGAATCACCTGGGACTTGAGATAAAGCTCTGGGGCCCTACTGTCGGGGTGACATCATGCACCCCAGCTGAGACCACAACATCTAGGCTTCTGCTCACCACCGGATGCCCAGCACCTGGTGCAGAGGGAGGGTTCAGATGCACACCCAGAGAGATTACAGTGGGTAGGGCACTTGCCCCGCACATGACCGACCTAGGTTCTGCCAGTACGGTCTTGCATCTCCAGGAGAGATCCCTGAACACTGCAGGGTGTGGCCCCAACACCAAAAACAATATAGCCACCCTCCAAAAAAAACCCAACTCCCTGCTCCCCCTCTCCCCAGAGCCATGGATCAATATAGAAACGAGAGGCCTGCCTGACCTTCCCGCTGAAAGGTCCCCAGGGCTCACTGAAGGAGAAAATTCAGGTGCCTTCCCCTGGAACATACCAATCCTAGGACCTGTGCCCGAAAGGACAGGGGTCCGGGCTGAGCCACACAGCACCAAACCCGGCACACAGGGCTCTCACCAGCTCTCGGTGCCTCTTCCTCTTCCTCTTCCTCTTCGGAGCTCTCAGAGCTGCTGGCGGGGTCTGACACGCGGTTCTTCTTGGCCAGCAGCGCCGCATCATCCTCAGCCTTGCGCTTCTGGCCCACTTCTGAGGTTCTGCGGGACGTAGGGGCGCGGAGGGGGGCTAGCAACGCCACCAGGCCACAAGGACCACTCCCCAAGGTTGGGGAAGAAAGACCTCCCTCATCTTTGTCTCACTTCACCGCCTGCCCCCCACCCAGGAAACAGCTGAGCTCAGTGAGAACAAGAGAGCCACACTGTTTTCCGCGTGTCACTCACTCACAGAATGTTTGCACGACTGTCAGTCAGTCTTCAGAATAAGCAGGTTGCAAACATTCCAAGACATCAGCTAACAGTCAGGTTCGCCCCATGACTATCCCCGCCCCCCACTATAGTTTCACTTCCCTCGGAGCATTTTAGCTCTCCTGTTCATTTATCTACATCGTGCCAGAATCTTGGGGTGGGGGAGGGGCATGCTGGCACAGTAAATGAGTCACCCAGTGACTCACCCAGGGGCAAGGGGCAAGGCTGGGCTGCTGTCAGAACAATCACCCAAAAGGCTGAGTCCCATTCAAGTGTCATATCCTTTGGGGGGGGGGGGGGGGGGAGAGAACTGGAGGTCCATGGCTAGAGCAAGAGGCAGGACCTATTCCTCTCTTGGTCCTAGGGGGCACTGCTGGTGGGCTGGGGAAACCGCATGTGGTGCCAGGGATTGGCTGGGCCTCCTGCATACTCTGCTCAGAATTGGGGACAGTGTGGGACATGGTGCTCTGGCGCCCTGGCCCAGAGAAGCCTTGCTGGCAATCTGCATCTCACCGACTTCCTGGATTAATTCATCCTGTCTTTCCTCCCACCGACGTCACCTCCCGAGGCCAGGATTCTCCCCAGCTACGTTCTGAGCTGTGTCTGACTGGTGGAAGGTGCTCAGGGAATACTGGGACTGCCCCAGATGGTCAGGCTGACCTCTTTGTTTCCTATCAAATCTGACATGATGAAGCACAGACCCAGGGAAGCCAAGTGCGCCTAAGGACACGCAGTGGTTGCTGGTCTGGAGCTCAGTGGGAACGGCCAGGCTAGCTGCGTCTGGTGGCCATGGGTCCATCTCGGCCAGCAGCCCTCACGTGGATAAGGGGCAGTGCAAAGAAGGGCATTCAGTGCTCACTGAAGCAATTCTTGGGGGCTAAGAAGTGCTCTGAGGAATGCCCAGACGCTTCAGTGAGGGAGAGGAAGAGTAGAGTGTGGTGTGCAGTAAGCCCTGAGCCCCATGTCAGAATCGGCAACGGAGGAAAGCAAAGGGCTGGGGGCCGCCCTCAGTCCTGCCCGGAAGCCGAGAGACCTTTCATGCCATTCCTGCTGTGGCTTACACAACTCCAAAGACAGGCAACTCAGCACACCACTGTCGCCTACATGACCAGGGGGTCACTCTGATGTGGTTCCTTAATGCGTGAATTCAGAATCCCATGGGTCAGTCCCACTTCAGAGCCTCCCTGCTCTGTCCTCACAGCCCCCCTTTCCATGGCGGACCCATTAGGATTCTCTACCAGTCCTCAAAGGACAGCCCTGTGAGTCCTTTGCTCCCCAGGTGTGGTCAGCCCAGGGCACAGAGAATGGGCAATTCTTCCCCCCTTCTTCCTCAAACTAGTCTTCTGTTGATGCTACCTTGGAATCTTGCCTCTTCCTTGAAAATTATTGCTTCCTTGAAGTTTCACGTGTTCTATGAAGTTTCATGCTCAACATGCCCTTGAAATCTTTCCCTCCAATTCAGGCTCCCTTTCAGATCTGCACAGAGGCCCCCCTGCCATCCAACGCAAGGCAGATTGGATTCTTCTCCATTTCCATCAAAGATGCTGGTTTCACCCCTAAAGACCCCTGCACTCCAGAATGCAGCCTCTGGCCACCCCACTCTTGAAATTTGGTCAAAAGAATACAACGGTGCTTCGGTCTCAGGAGCCACTGATTCTGGGGCTCACTATCCTCTCCCCTGACCACACACCCAGACAGGAGGATGCTACAGAGACAGACGGCCACTCCCAAGCTGATGGCCTGGGTGTCCCTTCTGAACTCCTCAGCCCCAGCTGACTTACTGTTGCCAGTGCGTATAGATGTCCAGGAGGGTTACGGGCTGAGCCAGCAAGTTTTTCTGCAGAAAAGAAAGAAGAGCAGTGAACTCTCCCCAAGCTCTGAAAGCATCCTCCCGGCACCCAGTTCTCACAACCTTATGATGTACAGGTGGGTAAGGGGCTCTTTTTGCCTTGCCAGTACCGACCAAATCTTCCAGAGGGGAGCATGGCAAGCACATCCATGTAACCCCCTTGTAAACAACATGCAGCTTAGTGGGACCTTGGAAAGACTGGATTGGCATGCCCAAGGTCAGCTCTTCTCCTGCCCCCAGCCCTGCTGGAGCCTTGAGACCACAGGCTTTTTCTGCCCCTGACCTTTCAGAACGCTTTGAAGGCCAGGCCAGTCTGTCTCTCCAGGGTGATACAAACCACAGCCCAGACACCAAGATACCCAGGTGGCATGACCACAGTGGACTCAGAAAAAGCCTGGAACAAAATGGTATCAGTCCCTTGGCAGGAGCAGAGGGATCCAGAGGGAAACTCAGGCCTTTGCAGCCGAGGCCAGAAGGTCCAGTTTTTCTGGAAAGAACCCAGGGTAGCGAGTGTGCTGGGGTGGGTGGAGAAGTAATGTGGGCAAGGGCAGAGGGTGGCAGGGATGGGGGCTCCTAGGTCAGGAGGGCGCCTCTGACAACTCATCTCTTCAAACCTCAGATTCCCTCTTTCTAACTCAGGCTAAGAGCTGCTGCACCCCTACACAGGCTGAGTTCCCGCTAGACTGTAATCATCTAGCCCCAAGCTTTTTAAGGGTGGGAATGTCCTTTTAAAGGACACTGCTTCAGGACAGAGTGATAGTACAAAGGGTAGGGGATAGGGCATTTGCCTTGCTGAAGCGCTGGCTGGCTGGCTGAGGACCTGGGTTCAATACCCATCATCCCCATCATCCCGGACCATCCACCGTCATCCCATACAGTCCACTAAGCACTGCCAGGAGTAATTCCTGAATGAAGAGCCAGCAGTCACCCTGCTGGGTGACCCAAAACAAACAAACAAAAAATGACACTGTTTTATGATTTCTTAAGAGCCTGGCAAGCTCCCCGTGATGTATTTGACATGCCAAACACAGTTACAACAAAGTCTCCAATGGAGACGTTACTGGGCCCGCTCGAGAAATCGATGAACAACGGGAGGACAGTGACAGTGACCAGGCTGGAAAAATATTACAGGATTAACTGCACTTGCCTTATTACCGTGATGTCTGATTTATAAACCTATTTCATCCCGGGGGTAGTGTAAAAATTTCTCAGGTGAAAAGGTGTTGCAAGCAGGGAAAGTTTTTCTTCTCTCTTTTTTTTTTTCTTTTGTGCCACACCTAGAGGTGTGCAGGGGTTATTCCTGGCCATACATTCAGGAATTATGGGATGCTGGGGATTGAACCTGGATCAGCCGTGTGCAGGGCAAGTAAATGCCTTACCTCTCTGTGCTACCTGTCCAGTCCAGCAGGCAGAAAATGTTTAAGCACTGGTCTAGCCCAGCACAGTGAGACAGCAGTGTGAAGATGTCCACTGTCAGATTCACGTTACCCATCTGGGACAACAATGTCTCCTGGGTGCTACACCCAGACACCCCGCCTACCCTATCAGTGCCATTCTTCCTCCTGGACCTCCTGGACCACTCTCAGTTATGCGAACTACTCACTTCCTTCATGTCTCTACCTAACAGTCACTGTCCCAGAGGAGCTTTAGGACAAACCTATTTAGAAAAGCCTGACCATTCCTTATGCTCCTACCATCATCCAACACAATGTCATTCACTGTCAGAGGGATGGCAGAGACGGTACAGTGGGTAGGACACTTGCTCTGCACGTGGCTCACCTGAGTTTGATCCCCAATACCCACCAGATCCCTCGAGCGATCCCTAAGGTATGGTCCACAAATTCAACAAGAGTAAAATAGATCTGTCGGGCCCAGAAGCTAATTCACAATGGTGGCGCACATGCATAGCCCGTGAGGCAGCAAGGGTGATCCCCAGCACCGCATGCTTCTCCAAGTGTTGCTGGCCGCACCCCTGTGCCCGAGCACTCTGGGGAGCCACCCTGCTCCCAAATTTATCATCTGTTTCTACCAGAATGTATGCTCCATGAAGGCAGATCACTTTTTACGTAGGTGAGTGTTCGGGGAACACCAGGAATATCTCCTGTCCTCCCCACCTCAGGTGCGAAGCCAGCTGGGAAAAGGGCAACTACATCCAAGGCCAGCTGGGAAAAGGAGAACATTTCAGTTCCTCCCCTGAGATCCTGAAAACAAAGATCAACTCAGCGTGTAGAGATAACTTAGGGGGAAACTAACTAATCAGATTGGTAGCCACATCATCAATTTAAAACAGTGGGCTGGGGAGAGAGCTCTCTGCGTGTTTGAGTACCTCTGGCATGTCTGAGGCTTGGAATTAATTCCATCCCCAACACCAGCCCCTCCCCTCCTACCGAGGGGCACACCTCCCAAAAAAACACACCAACCGGGTCTGAGAGTGACCCAAGACTGCCCTTAGTCTTCATGCACGAAGTGCCTGAAGGATGGATGGGGCTGCAGGCGGCCCCTGGGGGGATCTGTCACAGTATTCCACACGGAGACACCTGGGGGAGAAAGCTTGCCAGCACAAGGCATCCCCACCTCTGCCCTCTGCTCGGGTCTCAAACGGGCTGGGGAGACCCCCGGAGCAGGCCACCAGCCATGCCCACCCTCCCTAACCCTGCGGCTCTCAGCCACTGTCGCGTGTTCGGTGGACGTCGCTTTGGTGTCTGACTTTTCGCTTCTCCTTCCTACCCGGCTGTTAAGAGCTGGGGGCGGGGGGCGTGCTGGCCATTCTTATTGCCTGCACGTACCCGGAGTAACTGACCAACAATCTGGGGTGGGCCCCGAGAGCGCTGCTGTTTCTCCGGTGCGACTCAAGCACCGGGCCCCGGGGCCCTCGCACTCTGGGGCCGGACCCCCGGCCCGTCCGGGCCACGTGGCCGGAGGCAGGACGTCCACCCCTACCCCCACTCCACCCCCTCGGCCCGCCTCTCTACCAGGAAGAGGGTGGAGGTGCGGGGAGCGGGAATTACAAAGCTCCGCGGCACGGCTGGGGCGCGGGGCTGGGTGCGCTCGCTGGCACGTGGGGAAACTGAGGCCCGGGCGGCTGGAAGTGGCAGGGGCGGAGCGGGAGGGCGCGCGTCCCCGGCCCCCCGCCGGTGGCCCCGAGCATCGCGGGGCGCCGCCGTCCGGGTGGGCCGGGCCCCCCCCCACCCCCCAGCCCGCACACGGCCCTCGCACGCGGCCGCGCGCTCACCTGGCCGCTCTGCTCCTTCACTTCCCGCGCCGCGCGCACGTAGCCGGCCTGCAGCAGATGCTGGTAGATGAGCGGCAGCAGCTCACGCCGCTTCCGGGCCTCGGCCATGCCCGCGACCCGCGCGACCCCCCGGCGGCCGGCTAGCCCGCACGCCCCCTTCAGTCCCCGCCCGCCGCGGCCCGCGTGCCCTTAGACCTCACGCGCCCCACTTCCGGCCGCTCGATGGCCCGCCGCGCGGCCCGCTGGGAAATGTAGTGCGTGTGTGAGGCGCCGGCCCCGCCCCCGCGCGGGAAAGGGGCGGGAACTCGCCGGGCGGCGGGGCCGTCGATTGGTCGGGGCTGCTGTGCTTAGCCCGCCCCCGCCGCTGGGCCTGTCAGACCCGAGTGACACCCTTAAATCTTTCAGACTTGCTCAGCAGCGAAGGGATGTATCTTCCATTTTAGCTCCCCGAGGGCTGTGGCCGGGATTTTCTCATCGCTGCACGTTCTGAGCTGGGTCGCTTGAGACTCGAGCTTCCACTTACCAGCTCGTTCTAGTCATTTCCCCTAAATGACCCGTAAATCCTGAAATGACTATTTGTCACTAGTTGATTCATTCATTGAGAAAAATCGTTACTGAGCAAGGGACCCTGGGCTAGCACCTGGCTCGGGTGGGTGGATTAAAAAAAAAAAATCTCTTGGGGAGATAGCTCAAAGTGCTGAAGCTGATGCTGTTGGTGTGTGAACCCTGGTTCAGATCCCAGGCACCGTGGGTGGCTCCCAGAGCACCATCCGGAGTAACCCCCAAACAAAATGAAACAGAGATGAGTCTCCAGGGTTCTTGGCTAGCTCAGCAGTAGAAAGCTTGCCCTACGAACTCTGAACTCTGCCACACAAGTAAAGGACAGTGCCAGCAGCACCAACCTTACGAGGTCACCCGTGCGCCCGGACACCCTTTCCCTGTACCCAAACCTTCCCCAAGCAACAGCAAAGGAAAGGGGGCTATCGGGGAGGGGGAAGGGGAGATGAGTGAGCCTGTTCTGTTCTCATTGCCTCGTGGGAGGTAATTGGTAACCTAGTAACTTGGTTCAATGTCTTATCTTCATTGTTGCCTTGTCCAGGCAAACCTGCCTATGAAAGCAGATGGGAGGGGCATTGAGCCCCAAAGTGACATCTAAAAACAGGCTTGAAGAGGGAACAGGAATGTCTAGGTGCAGAGGGGAATTTCTAGGATGCTCTGGTATCCCAGACAGAGGGCACTGCATGAATACAGAAGTCTATTAGTCTGTGGAGTTAGAGATGGAGAAGTAGACAGAACCCTCACTTTAGAAGAGTAAGCCCTGCGTCCAAGGGAGAGCTGATTCTAAACAGGAGAGTAACCAAGGTTTGTGGATTAGGGTTTTTTATTTTATTTATTTATTTTTGGTCATCCCTGTTGGTGCTTGTGTGCCACTCCGCTCCCTGTGCTCAGGAGGCACTCCCACTGGTTCTCAGGGGTCTCTTCGATGCCAAGGGATCAAAGATAGAAACTTCAGCATGCAAAGCCTGTGCCATTCATTGAGCTGTCTTTCTGGCCCGGGGTTTGTGTTTTTAAAGGATTGCTAAATTTGATGTAAGAATAGTCTTGTGAGAGCAACACTACTGGTGTGAGGCTCTTGTGGTTATGGGGTGGGAGGGACAAATCAAGCTGTGGGGAGTTTTTCCCCTAGACACGCTGAGTCATACCCACTGGTATTTAGTCAATCTTTTTTGGGGGGGGAGGGGTCACAGCCGCTGATGCACAGGGGTTACTCCTGACTCATACGCTCAGGAATTACTTCTGGCAGTACTCGGGGACCATATGGGATGCTGGGAATCGAACCCTGGTTGGCCGCGTGCATGGCAAATGCCCTACCCGCTGTGCTCTCGCTCCAACCCCCTAGTCAATCATTTTTAATTTCTCAGACCCATGGAGACTCTCCAGATAGCATGAGCTATACAGTCATTGCTCTAGACAGTTTAACATTTTTACTCAATTTCAGGATAAGGGCTGGAGCGAGAGCACAGCGGTAGGGCGTCTGCCTTGCACGCAGCCAACATGGCCGACCCGAGTTCGATTCCTCCGCCCCTCTCGGAGAGCCCGGCAAGCTGCCGAGAGTATCTCGCCCGCACGGCAAAGCCTGGCAAGCTCCCCGTGACGTATTCGATATGCCAGACACAGTAACAAGTCTCACGATGGAGACTCACTGGACCCGCTTGGGAAAATCAATGAACAACGGGAGGACAGTGACTTTAGGATAAGGATGGCACACACCTGTATCTTTTACAGGAACTGCTGATGCAGGCATGGAACCAGGACTAAGAGAGAGAGGAACCCACACTCACTTAGTCAATTAAATCATTAGTCAGTTATTATTCAATAAATAATTTCTCTCCTGGAGGAAAGTCTTTACCCACAAACAGCCGACATTCCTGTTCAGCAGGTACATATTAAAAGGATAGTTACATAGATACATTGTTATCAAGAATGTTCTGTGCTGGGAAAGAAAAGGCAGGTGCTTTCTTGTGAAATAGCCCCTGGAAGCTCTGCTCAGAGCAACTGCTTAGCGGTCCAGCTGGCTTTTCTTCTCTGTAACTAAATAACTTTAAGGTAAGGTAAAGGTAAAGGCCCTCCCTTTGATCATCTATTTGCTCGAGCGGGCCCAGTAACGTCTCCATTGGAGACTTTGTTGTTACTGTGTTTGGCATATCGAATACGTCACGGGGAGCTTGCCAGGCTCTGCCGTGCGGGCGAGATACTCTCGGTAGCTTGCCGGGCTCTCCGAGAGGGGCGGAGGAATCGAACTCGGGTCGGCCATGTTGGCTGCGTGCAAGGCAAACGCCCTACCGCTGCGCTATTGCTCCAAGTAACAATTTTTTTTTTTCCTGTTCTTCAATTTTATTTTTTTTTTTTTTGCTTTTGGGGTCACACCTGACAATGCACAGGAATTACTCCTGGCAGTGCTCGGGGGACCATATGAGATGCTGGGAATCAAACCCCAGTTGGCCGCATGCAAGGCAAACACCCTACCCACTGTACTATTGCTCCAGCCCCTCTGTGCCTCCATTTCTTCATCTGTAATATAAAGGTGAGGATCATTTCTGCCCCACAGTGTGTCAGGAGGAGAAAATGAATTCTCAGGGAATTCTAAGCAACATTCCAAGCAGAAAGGCGGAGAAGAGCTTCTGATAAAATAGTGCTGCCCATGTAGATATGCTCTGGTGAAAGCACTTAGCAGTAGGAGGATGCTATCTTTTCTTGGGAACTAGAGAAGAAAGTGTGACTTTCGTGAGAAAATTTGAACTGTACACAGGAGGAGAGGGAAGAAGCCGCCCGAAGGTCTGAGGCTTCTGAAAGAGGCAGGAAAAGTCATTATAGCCGGCGCAGAGGAGAGCTGGCACTCAGAGAGTGTGACCGGTGAGCAGAGGGAAGATTCTCCATTGAGGACTTTTCGGCTCATTTTAACAGTGACCAGAAGATGCTGCCAGGGCGGGCCCAAGAAGGATTGGGTGACATTTAAATTTTCAGATGAGCTGCATGAACATGCAGTGGAGAGTGGAGTAGCAGGTATATGAGTGGACACAGAAGGACAAGACAGTGTTAGGGAGCCGGAGCGATAGTACAGCGGGGAGGGCATTTGCTTTGCTCGCGGCCGACCTGGGTTCGATCCCTGGCATCCCATATGGTCCCCCAAGCACTGCCAGGAGTAATTCCTGAGTGCAGAGCCAGGAGTAATCTCTGAGCATCGCTGGGTATGACCCAAAAAGCAAAAACAAACAAACACACACACAAAACAAAACAAAGACAGTGTTAGGACTTCAGGGGGTAGCGCTTGGAAGGTTCTAGAGTTGTCAGGAAGTCAGTTGTCATGGAGATGGTTGAAGTGGAGGGGGAGCGAAGGGGGCACTTGCAACAGGCAGGCAGAGGATTTCTTTGAGGTGGGGCCGGTGGAGGGGGTGAGGACGGCAGTGTGGGTAGCTTTGTTTGAGACATGCTGGGCTTGAAATGCGTTAGCAGCACCCACTGCAGTTGGCGCTCAGAGACTGGGTTTGGGCTCAGCAGGAGAGGGCAAGTTGCCAGTGGAGAGAGGATCCCTGGGCCTGCAACTGAGGGCATGATTGCCAGGGGAGAAGGGCGTGAAGTGGAGAAAAGAGGTGGCCTGGAGGCAGTTCTTAGGCACATCCTCACATCAGATCTCTGTGAAAAGGACCAGCCTGCAGAAGCTGAGAAGGCAGAGAGACAGAGAGCCCTGGGGGGCGGGCACAGAACCCTAGGGCAGAGCTTCAGGGGAGCAGGAATGCCCCCCCCAAGGCTCTGAGCTGGTACGCATGTTGGTTTGTGACAGACCAGGGGATGGCAGGTGACTTTAGAGAGTGCCACTTCCGTGGCATGATGGAGACGGCCAGATGGCAGCGATGTGATAAGGAAGGGAAGGATGGGAGGGGCAGTGGTCCTACTGAGAAGTTTCTGTGTAAAGGGGAGGAGAGGGAGGGCTGTGACAGAAACAATGTTTGCCTCCGGAGCCTGTGTTCGAAGGTAGAAGAGCCGCGAATGTCTCTGGCTAGAAGACTGACAGCAGATCACAGGCGGAGAGATTAATTGAGGGTGTAGGGAACTGGGGCGAGACTCAGCGCGGGCTGTGAAGGGGATGGGATCAGTCGTGTAGGTGGAGGGGCTGGTCGTAGAGAGGAGGAGGGATGACTTCTCTAGAAGCGAAAGAAGGAACAAAGAGAGGATGAGTGCAGATGTAGATGTAGGTTTGTAGTGGGATGCTAAGGGAGATTTCATCTTGAGCTGCTATTTTTTTCCAGCAAGTGGGAGGCAAGGTCTCCTGCGAAGACTGAGGAAGAGGTGGTGAGGAGTTTGAGGGAGGGAGGAGAGTGAGATACAGAGAGTTGAACAAATTGGCCCCCAAACCCCCAGTGGCTCGATAGTGCTGACGACGACCCAGCAGAAGTTGGAGGTCAGGTAGGGCGTTTGCCTTGCATGTGGCTGACCCGGGTTCGAGTTCAGTATCCCATATGGTCCCCTGAGCACTGCCAGGAGTAATTCCTGAGTGCAAAGCCAGGAGTAACCCCTGTTCATTGCCGGGTGTGACCCAAAAAAGCAAAAAAAAAGCAAAAAAAAAAGAAAGAAATGCTTAAAAAAATAAAGAAGAAGAAGCTGGAGGTCAGTGGTTTCTGGGC